CCACTAGTTTGCCTGGTGAGGGGTCGCTGCCTAGGGCTGGTGAAGGGATACCAGGCAGCACCGTCGGCGAGGGATCGCCGCATTGGGTGGCGAGGGGGCGCCGGCTGGGGCTGGACCTTCCAGCAGTGCGAACGGGCAAGGTAACAATCAGCCTGTTGTGGAAATGGCGGGAACTAAGTATCCAGTTAGAGAGCGTAAATGCCCTGGCGAATGGTGGCGAAACGAACCTGGTCGCACTGTCACTGGTCGCGTTAACGCTGCTTTCTCTGCTGATATTCCTGAACCTGATTCGTTTGCGGAAGCCATTTCGAGTCCACATGCAGACGACTGGCGGCGTGCGATGGACGAGGAGATCGCCGCCCAGATGGCTAATAGTACTTGGGAGCTGAAGAAGCCATCTCCCGGTGCTCGTTTGTTGCCGTGTCATTGGGTGTATAAGGTTAAGTACAACGATGACGGCAGCGTGGAGCATTTAGTTGCAAAGGGTTTCAAACAACACGAGGGGATTGATTATGGGGAGTTATTTGCCCTTACCTCTCGTGGTTCGTCATTGCGTGCTTTGTTAGCAGTTGCAGCAGCCCGGAATATGACGGTGCATCAGCTCGACGTGTCTACTGCGTTTTTAACAGCGAGTTGAAGGAGGAGTTGTGGATGCAACAACCGCCTGGGTATGAATCCAGTGACCAGTCGCTTGCGTGCAAGCTGCAGAAGTCGATTTACGGATTAAAGCAGGCACCCCGTTGCTGGTATGAGAAGCTATCTGCAGAGCTCGCTAAGCTGGGTCTTTATCCGTCTAAATCTGATCCGGCGATGTTCGTTAAGACGGACGTGCGTGGGGTTGTTATAGCGTTGGTGCACGTAGATGACACCATTGTTGCGTCGGAAGACTCGGAAATGGTCGGGGCAATTAAGGCAGCCATAGCTAAGGTCTTCAAGGTGCGTGACCTTGGAGAAGCGTAGGTGCTTTGGGGCATGGAAATTAGGAGGGAGAAGTTGGGTGAGTTAGTCAAAGCCACAGTATAGTTTATATTGAGCAGCTGTTGGAGCATCATATGATGGTTGACGCTCGGGCTTTAGGTACACACCTACAGGGGACCGAGAGGAGCTGCTGGAATCCCACGGAGTATAGGGCTTTGGTGGGGGAGTTGAACTACCTAGCGACGAACACGCGGCCTGACATTTGTATGCATTGAGCGTTTTGTCCCGGCATATGGCCGCACCCACGAAGAGTGCTATGAACTTGGCAACTGGCGTTCTGCGTTACCTGGTGGGTACTCGCGAACTAGGATTGCGTTTTGGGGGTGTTAGCGACGTTGCTATGTCCGGGTATAGTGATTCTGACTGGGCAGGAGACCCAGTTACGCGGCGTTCTACTTCCGGTTACGTATTCACTCTTAATGGGGCTGCGATTAGCTGGAGCAGCCAACTTCAACGTACTGTGGCGGCTTCGTCGGTGGAGGCCGAGTATCAAGCGACAGCGGCAGCTGTTCGTGAGGCTTTGTGGCTTCACAAGCTGATGGTTGATTTGGGTTTGCCTGAGAGCGCTGTCAAGATCCAAATAGATTCCCAGGGGGCGCTTAGCTTAGGAAATAACCCGATTACGTCTGCTCGGTCGAAACACATCGACGTACATCACATAGTGCGTGAGAGGGTGAATAGCGGTGAGGTGCAGTTGGAATACTGCCCTACGGAGTGGATGGTTGTGACAATCGGGGAGACTTACCCAAGAACTTAATGGGACGACCGATGCATATCCGGTAGTTAATTGTCTCCCTGAAGGGGAAATTTGGGCACCGTCAGGACGGCGCAGCGAGATTGTGGAATGTACGAGGGCGACCCATGAGTTTTCCGCTGGCGCCGGCATTTAGGGTGGTGACCGCGCATGTTTCTCTCTCTTCTCACACAGAGTGGTATTCCTTACAGGAATCTCCAAAAGTCCTGCCGATCGCAACTATTACAATTATACTTTATTTGTAACATCTTTATCGTGCTCCATATCTTCGCCGGCATTCCTCTTCCGGAGTAACAGTCAGCACCAGTTGCCACCGCCGTCAATTTTCCAACACTTCTCGTTGACCTTTTGTATGCCAGGCTAAAACTGAGTGGTGTACCCAGCGTGCTATTGTGAGTTGGGATACATCCCATGGGGGCGGTCCGGTCCCAACTCATATAGTTGTTGATGTTGTTACAGGGTGGTTAAGCTTCACCAGTGGCCTCCTTCCCGAGGCAATTCCCTGCTCTCCCCTGCTAGAGGGGCACCCTAAGCCATTCACCCCATCCGACTTCAGAGTGTACTCTTTGAGTTTGGCAACTCACCACCAGCATCCAACCAAATCTAGCGGATCAACGGCGCCTCAATTTAGTTCCTGGTCAGCTCGCAAGTTGATTTTATCACGTCCTACACCGTCCACAAGATGGGGGGCCACCTCCCATTTCACCACCTCTCAAACACCCGAGAGGTCGGCAGGCGGATTTGAACCCGGGTCGACCGGGAGCAGAAGTCAGGCCTTAACCTCTGCCAGCCGCCTGCCGTTGTTGTTGTTTCAGTGTGGTACAGCTTCACCAGTGGCCTCCTTCCCGAGGTAATTCCCTGCTCTCCTCTGCTAGAGGGGCACCCTAAGCCATTCACCCCATCCGACTTCAGAGTGTACTCTTTGAGTTCGGCAACTCACCACCAGCATCCAACCAAATCTAGCGGATCAACGGCGCCTCAACTTAGTTCCTGGTCAGCTCGCAAGTTGGCAAGGGGATTGACCCCGGGCCTTTGTGTGACAATTGGGTAAACTAACCCCTGTGCCCTATCGGGCATTGCTACCTGTGGTATATGGTGGGCAGTTAGCGCCGTCAGGACAGCACGGCGAGATCGTGGAATGCACGATGTAAATCCATGAGTTTTCCGCTGGTGCCGATATTTAGGGCGGTGGCCGTGGCTCTCTCTCAATCTAACGTGGAGCGGTATTCCTTCTAGGAATCTCCTCAAGTACTGCCGATCGCTACTATAATTTATAACTTTATATTAAAACCCTTTAAAACCCTAAAACCCTAACGATTAATTACAATGCTTTTAACGTGTCATATCGTGTCCTATCTCTTCACCGGCATTCCCAATTTTAAGTAACAGTCAGCGCCAGCTGCACCGCCGTCGATTCAACAGCCCTAACCTGCCCCTGTAGCTGGGTTGCTGCTCGGAGGCAGCACCTGCCGACTTCCATGGCGGATAGCGCCGCTAGGGTGATAACATCCCAGGGCCCTGTTCGCACCCGGGTGGCGCTTGGGCAAGCCAGAGCTGTTGCAGGGTGGTGGTGGCCCCTATTGTTGATGTTGATGTTGTTACAGGGTGTTACAGGGTCACCAGTGGCCACCTTCCCGGGGCATTTCCCTGCTCTCCCCTGCTCGAGGGGCACCCTATTCTATTCACCCCATCCGACTTCAGAGTGTACTCTTTGAGTTTGACAACTCACCACCAGCATCCAACCAAATCTAGCGGATCAATGGCGCGTCAAATTAGTTCCTGGTCAGCTCGCAAGTTGATTTTAATATGTCCTACATCGTCCACAAGATGGGGGGCCACCTCCCATTTCACCACCTCTCAAACACTCGAGAGGTCGGCAGGCGGATTTGAACCCGGATACTCCGGGAGGAAAAGTCAGGCATTAACCTCTGCCAGCCGCCTGCCTGATGTTGTCTGTGTGTGTGGCAGGTGCCTGTCGATCTGCTCCTGTACGGCGCGTGTGCAGCCATGGTGGGCAGGGTCCGCCGGCGGCGCCCCCATAGGTCCCACACCCACATGGCTCAGTGGGCACCCAGGCGAGGTGGGTGCTGCCAGGTAGGGCCACGCCATCCACCGCAAGACGCATATGGTCTCCTTGTTCTCATTCTCCCAGCATACCCCATGCCACAAGCGTGCCAGAGTTGCCTGAAAGCGGCTAAGCTCGGCAGCTGGGTCAGGCCGACCCTGGGTCTCGGGCATGTTCAGGGCCTCATGCATGAAGTCGATCATCAGGTGTATTCACCGCTAGTTGGCATGTCCGCTAGTTGGCATGTCACCGCTAGTTGGCATGTAGCTGTGCCGCTTGACTGACCGTTAGGCACAGTGTCCATCCCTCCGAGCGGCACAGTGTCCATCCCTCTGAGGAGGCGCCACCCCAGGCGCCTGATGATCATGGTCATCACTTGTGTGCAGTCTGGCAGTGTCGTTGCTGGTGCTGGTGGTTGCTGCTGGGGCCCCTGCTCTACTTGTTGCTGCTGTCGCAGCCTGATCTCCACCACATGTGCTGCCTCCAGCCAGGCCGGGCTGATGTTGCTGTGCAGGGCTCCAAGAGCCGCAAGGGTGGTGTCCTTGTCCTGCAGCTGGGTGGGAACTGTGGCTGGGTCCTCACGGGTGCCCACGAGTGCCAGGCTGCTTCCTGGAGGGTGGTGGCTTGGCCATTGTTTGCCGCTTCCCACACCTGTACCAGGTCCCCCACCGTGCGCAGTTTCCTGCATGGTGTCAGTGCCGCGTGGTATGCTTTTCAGGCCTGGTCGACGGCTGGGGCCCTCGGTGTTTGCATTATTGGCCGCATTGGGCATCAGTGGGTTGCCCCATACTCACCGGGTTCCAGCGGGGTTCTGCCAATGTCCTCCAATGGCGGCAGGTGTCCCGGTGCCCCCACGGCCCCGCTGATGTCTGCGGGAAGGTCTCTGCCGCCAAGCCCCGTAGCCTGGGCGGTTGTCAGAGCATGGCTGGAATGTTGCTGATCCTGTTATTAACGATATTGCTGATGCGTGTGTCTTTTATTGTGTATGTGAGGTTGCTGTAGTATTCTGGGCATTACACGGGATCTGCATCCACCGATCAGTACTTTTCTGAAGTCGTGGTATAACAGTTGTGCAGGGTTCCTCTCATCGACCGTGTTTTGGCCGATCAGGGATTTTCTTTGTCGTCTGGCTTCGCCACTGCTGGGTCTCCCTGTGTGTAAACGTCCTCACAGAAAAACACTATGTGTAATTGACCGATGGATAATCTGCCTTCAGTTACACCAGCCCTTAACACGAGAGCCAACAGCATGACTTACAAGCTACGGACAGGTATCGTCTATTCTCTATCCTTGCCCACGAAATAAACACTGAGAGCCCAGTAAGCCTTTAAGTGAAGGCATTAGCCATGCAAATTTCGGTCGGAACATGACCTGCTTTATTTCACAGCCCCTCATTTAAGTAATGAAATGAAAGTCTTGCATCACACTATTTAAATTCTTCAAAGACAACGCTTACAGGAGGAAGGGGAACCAAAGCTTATCAGCAGTATATATTCGTTTTATCATCAAAAATTCAGTCCGCTCTGCGGCAAGACACATAAAGCCCCTTTGACGACCCTTTCTTCCCCCCCAAAGTATTATCACATATCCGACCTCTCCGCTGAAGCATGAAAGCTAAGCCATGTGCCCACTTAGGGTCATTGGTCAAGCAAGGCCATTCTTTCATGCGGAGAGGTTCAGTTTTGCTGCTGAACCTTGCTGGCCGCTGCGAGCTCCTTAAACACAGCCTTTGCTCGGCTTTCCACTTCCTTCAGGTACTCAGCCTGTGAGGAAAGGATGGGCAGGGCAACGTAACTGACATACACAACATTCAGTATCGCAGCACATCGACTCTACTGCAATTTGCGGTTTCAGGTCCCGGGTTTGATTCCTGGCTAGGCCCCGGACATTGTCGGGAGCGTGACATTATGGCTAGTTGCTGAGATGAGGAGTTGAAGTCACAGTTGATGGACCGACATTCGCACGCTGGATTGGCGGCGACTCCTGAAGCCTCTGCCTCTATGGATGTTCGGGTGAAAGGATGAGGAATTCTAGACGGCAGAATCAACCGCCTTGGACTTGCAGTTCGTATGGCGTAGTACAGAGAGGTAATGGAGAATGTACTGTATAGTGTTCAATCCTATATGACAATCTAAATGTGTGTAAATGGCCCAGAAGCCTCCCACTCTGTCACAATGTTTCTGAAAAAAACATTATGCTTCTTTGCACCTTCTTTGCCAGTCCCTTGGCACCGAAACAGAGCAAAAACAACAAGGTAGAAATTTGTACGACACGCAACACCAGCTATACACCATCTTCATATCCCAACGTCCCACCTGGACCCGTTGTGCATATGAGCCGCTTTGCAAGCCCAGCACCACGCCCTCCATGCGCCGCTGCAGGGCCTCCATAAAGGATGCCTCACTGATAGCTCCCTCCGCAGCCAGGGAGCGTATCAGGGAGTACCACTGCCGCTCCTCAGAATACAGCAACTGGCGGTAACATGCGGGAAGTCAAATGTGTGCACACAGGCATGCACACATGGCCAACAAGATTATTTGTTAAAACGGCTCCATGTTCCATTCTCCAGGGAGATCCCAGCCATCAAGCCAACTGCAGAGCACCTGACTGGCGCTTCATTGTAGCGGCTATTCACTGCCACAGCACCCGGTGGCAGTACACACATGCATACACACATATAAGGCAGGTGGCTGGCAGAAGTTAAGGCCTGACTTCTGCTCCCGGAGTGTCCTGGTTCAAATCCACCTGCCGACCTCTCGGTGTGTGAGGGGTGTTGATTTGGGAGGTGGGCCCCCATCTTGTGGACGGTGTAGGACGTGATCATATCAACTTGCAAGCTGACCAGGAACTAAGTTGTGGCGCCTTTGATCCCCTAGATTTGGTTGGATGCTGGTGGTGAGTTGCTGAACCCAACGAATACATTCTGAAATCGGATGGGGTGAATGGATTAGGGTGCCCCTCTCGCAGGGGAGAGCAGGAAACTGCCTCGGGAAAGGGGGCCGCTGGTGAAGCTATACCACCCTGTAACATCATACACACACGCGTGCCTGCAACGAACTGACATGACACGCATTTTTTTAATGTTCTAATCTCCTTTGCAGCTTTTCAATCATATATTTCTTCCTGGTTGCCTTGTGCGTGTCTTGCTGTTATGTGTCTCTCATGCATTTTCCTTTTCCCTTCCCGGGGAATTAGTGCCACTGCTTGCCCAGCTCGCTCACTGGCCCGTTCAGATGTAATCTCCACCCTCCGGGCCGCGAGGAGACAACACGGTTGCCAACACGGACACACCTTGTTTAGTGCGCCGTCAACGCCCTGCGTCTCCGGTGAGCGCAGTTCCCGTGCTGCATAGAGCTGCAGCACCAGCTGCAGCAGCTGCACCATGCCGTCGAACCTGCCGGCCAAACACCCGCCAGGCGGGTGGGGGGCACAGCGTGGGAAGAATCAATAAGCATGGTAGCCTTCAAACCTAAATGGTAGAGGCAAGTAAGGCGCCTCGTCATGCCGTGTACATCTGAAACATAGTGCTACAAATGCCGTGACAATCTAAAGCTCCGGTGGACAGCCCAGCTGGATGCACTACCTACCCATCCTCCGAGCTCTTCTTAATCCAGGCAAACGCGTTTGAGAGCAGCGCCTCATCCAGCCGACTGGAGTGGCGCTCCAGCGCATCCCGCACTCGCTGAACCTGTTGGTGTGCGGCGCAGGGACAACCACTCGGTGTGGAGAGGAGATGGGCAGGGCAGATGGTGCGGTCTGGTCTGGTGACACTACTGCAATATGCAGTTTAAGGTCCTAGGTTCGATTCCTGGACAGACCCCCGACATTGTCGGGAGCGTGAGATTATGGCTAGCTGCTGAGGTGTGGAGTTGAGGTCACAGTTGATGGACCGAGATTCGCGCGCTGGATTTGTGGCGATTGCTGGACCCCCTGTTTCTCTGGCGGATGTTCGGGTGACTGGATGAGGAGTAATCCTAGTAGGCAGGATCAACCGCCTTGGACTTACAGTTCGTATGGCGTAGTACGGTGTGGTAGTGGTGGATGGTGCTGTATGGTGATAAATTGTAAAAATGACAATGTGTTCAAGTGGCCCAGAAGCCTCCCACTCTGTAACAACAACATAGATGGTGCAGCATGCATGATGGTGCAGTCATGCTCGGGAAACAGGAATGTGAGGAAGCCGGCCAGGATGATGTACAGTATTGTGAGGGAATTCCGCGCGATACCCTCTTACTGCTTCAGACAGGAACGAACTAGTAGAAAGAGGGGGGTCTTGCAAAACCCCATCAAAGATCAGAGGTGGTGGATCTTCCCTGCGTAACTCTTCTATCTCATCGTGGGGTGCAAGAGATGAGATGCTCTGTGCAGGTGAGATGCCTACTCCGCATCACACCTGCTCAGCCGTAAGCGGCAGGTACCACTCGCCCTTTTCGTCCGCTGCAGCAACCAGGATGTCCTGAGGGAGGTGCGCACGGGGAGGGAGGAGCGATAACCGTCGTCATGAGAGGCGGGCGACGTTTGTACGACCACAGCACGATCACAGAAGGATCTAGAAGGCTGTATTTCGAATGTCCACAGAATGAATTCTGGTTGTCAGCGCTCGATGGCCGAACTGTGACGGTGGATAATAACCGGGGAAAGAGGCAGCGCGTTCAATACGTCTTCAAATTCATAGCACCTGGTGCAATGCCCCGTGGAACGGAACGTTCCCTATCCCATGTATGTATGTCCGATATGCCCAATTTGTTTACCAGTCCCACCGACAAGGACACCGATGCCGTACATGTCAGTCCAGCTGACCTGCAACACTTTACCGCTGTCCTCTAGCTGCTGCTCCGTACGCCGCCGTACGGCATCCACGAGGACCATGACGCTGTTCGCTACAGCCTGCATTGCAATAACACAACATACCGAACCCAGCGGTGTCTCTCACCAGGTAAAGACCGTCGGTGGGATGGATTCTCTCGGGCAGATTGGCAACCCCTTCCCCCGCATGACCTCGAAGAACACTATCTCTCTCGCCTCGCCACTTCCTTCTGTTCTGCCCGTTGCTGTTCGTTTGCATTTGGTTCTGAAATGTTCGCCCACTTCTATCCAGTTCTACTTCACTCCGGTGGGTGCGCGGGAGTCAGCGCTGGTCATCACCATCACCATGAAGATTCGTTAATACGATAAGTGCCATCCGGCCAGCTCTGAGTCCGTTCATCCGCTCATTTCCTCCCCGCAGCCCCGACCCCAACCCCCAACCCGCTCTCAACGGAGCCAACGTCATTGCATAGCGCTACCATATCCAACCGATACGGCACTCAAGGTGTGCTCCGCCAGGCACCTGCGAGGTTGGGCCCCTAACCCGGAAGGCACACATGCCAAACCCCTGTCCCATTCCCTTGCAGCTCCATGCGCGGTTGCGGCGGCCCCTGGTCCCCACCTGTAGGCGCTCTCTGTCATCTTTGGTCGCGGCGGTGTCATTCCGGGTGGCGATGCGCATCCAGAACTTGGTGTCTATGGCAATGATGTGCTCCGCAACCAGCTGAGCCATCTGGTGGCGGACAGGAGCACAAGCCATAACCCACAATGAGTGCAGTTGACTCGCGGGGAAAGAGATTGGACTGCTATGAGATACCCACTGCGAGTGATCCACTGCCTTCACCCCCCCGCCATCCCCGGGGCATCAATCCGTCTGGCAGATGTCTGCCAACCCAAGTGCTTGGTTCACTAAGACACCCTTGCCGGGTGTCCGCGAACCACTGTGGCGACTTCCACTTGGTGTGTATCCAGTGTCTCGGACGAGGGGTAAAAGGCGCAACAGTTCAACCAGTAAAAACCTCGTCCTTGCGGATGTACCTGCTGCTGCGACTTGGCGCTCAGCAGCTGATCAATGAGATCATCTAGGGCAGCCGTTTCCTTGAGAGAGCCGCCAAGATCAGATCGTGCGTAAACAAGCCGCGGCGAAGAGCGCTGTACCCCATTCGGTGCGACCCGTCGCGGCGAAGCAACCCGTATAATGACCACTGATGATTTTGCAGTCGCTTTACAAAAGTTGAATGCACGTACATGTTGAACAGATGCGCGGCGACCAGCCGGGTTCTGGCAAGCTTGAGACCTCAGGGAAGACGACATTTTCCCTAGATGTCAAATTTTGCTTAAATGTACGTTAGGAATGTATTTATTTATTTTAGGTACAGACATGCATACATATTGCATGTCTGCGGATGGCCGTGCAGTATGGCCGCCCATGAATTTTTTTTGGGGAATCACGTGCTTGCTGTAAGCAAAATGCTCAATTGATGCAACGTATGCATCATTATGATAAAGGCTTTTGGAGTGTTGTCCAATATTCTTAAACTACCTCCCAGGCCACGTTGAGAACCCCGTTTGCGCTCTTCAATAATAACATGCACGAGCTTGGTGTGTATGACCTCTCAATGGGTAGATAGCTAGAATCAAGGAAGGATACAATTTTGAAACTGCCAAGCTAGCCACAACATGGATGATGGCTTGGGCGAGGATGCCGCAGCAGCTAATGACTCGCTGGCGTCTGGTCTAGCGGATGAATTGAGCAGGAGATTGACGAACAGTGACCCGGCAAGCCCTCATCTTAGGCTGGTGTAATGCTTTGTGCGGGAAACTTTTCTTACGCCTTCACGTCCGCACGGTTGGGTTGCGCAGGTCCCACCGCCGCCCCAAACAGAGAATGGCGATTTGGCAAAGCAGCTTCCTCGTATTCTTTGCGAGGTGCGTTTCTGCGTGATGGCTACGGTTATGTTTTTCCCAGGGTCTTTTCCGGTACTTGGTGGGCGAAAAGGGGAGACAGTGACTATGCTTGCCTAGGTGAAAAGTCCATATGCTTTGTTCACAGGCTGCATATGTCCGCAGGAACGACATGACGCGACAGCAGACGATGCCGACCTCCGGTCTGTCGATCATGGGCTGGTGTCGAAATGGCGACAGAAGGAGAAGCTCAAAACGACGAGCGTGGCGCTCGTGCTATGTCTCAATATTGGTGTCGACCCACCGGATGTGATAAAAATATCGCCTTGTGCACGGCTGGAGTGCTGGGTGGACCCCATGTCTGCACAGCCGGCAAAAGCCCTAGAACACATTGGTGAGCTTCACTACGGGTTGTTGATACGTAGGGACAACTGTGGGAACGAGGAGAGCTGCTGGGGGAACTTACGGACACGCGTTGTGGGTAAAGTGTGACGGGGTTTCCGGACGGCAGCGGCCTCTGGACTTCCGGCAGGCTCGGCTCATGTGCATCGTTCCTATAGTTCCTGCTCCTCGAAAGCGATATGTCGTCAGCACGTGACACTTATCTTCTAGCAAGTTATCCATCGCCGTGGTGAATGGAATGGAGCCTTAGGCATTGCAATTGTACAGGCATGGCATATATCATCGACGTTCGCACCCGGTTTCGAGGCTGGCTGCTGCTGTTATATGCGAGCATACCCGGAAACTCCACGTGGTGTCTTTAGAGACTCTCTCCTATGTATATCACGTGGCCCGTCCAGGCAAAAACCTGCAGGCACAATACGAACGCTGGCAACCGCGGGCTAAGTACAAGATGCACCTGGACCCCACCGTGGAGGACGTGAAGAAGCTGTGCCTGAGCTGCAGGAGAAACGCGAAGGTGCCTTACTGCGCCACTTGCGGTGACTATGGGGGCAACTGCAACTCGGAGCGCACAAGGGGGGCCTTGGGTTGAATGTTGATAGCGCTAAGGGTAGTAGTTGGGTATCCCGGTGGTGGTGTGTCGGTCACACCTGCGTCGCGCTGTGCATTACTGAGCAGGAGTGATATTAGCGGAGCGTGGAGGTGCGCAGAAGGCGACGCGATGCCTAAGTGCTAATGGGCATGCGTGGTCAATTATTATCTTCGCTGTGCTCTTACTACTACACATCGTTCCACTACGCTACACACCCCACCTGTGTCGCGCTGTGCAACCCCCATTGCGGCGCCTCTCGTAGAACGAACGCGTGCTGTTCCACTACAATGGACACGGCGTGCCCCGGCCGACGGCGAACGGAGAGATTTGGGTTTTCAACAGCCGCTACACCCAGTACATACCACTGTCCATTTACGAGCTGCAGGTGGGGGTTCCTGGGTGCCCATGCGCCTGAGGAGTTGAGCCATACTTGGAATGCTGGGAACCGGTAGTCACTACTGGGTGCTATTAGGAGCGTCTAGGGCGTTGGGCTATTGGCTTATGACACATTGAAAGAGCCGCCGGACGCCTATGCGGTAGCCATCAGTGCGCGCACGCTTTGCAATGTCAAGAGGTGATGGAGTGCCTAGCCCTTATTTCGTGCTGAACGTGCGAGCGCTGTACAGGAGTGGCGTCAGCTTCACAACACTGTTTGCATGCCTGCATGGTCCCATCATTGGATTCATAACTGTATCCGTTACTGGATCTAACCCTGGTTAGCTTGGGTGCGAAGTCCTTACCTGCAGCTGTGCACTTCACTCGGTGACCATGCGTGCCCTTATGTGTGCCCGAATCAGAGCTGGCTGGGGACGCCCAGCATTTACGTGCTGGACTGCTCTGCGGCCGGACTCATCATCAACGCCATCCGCCAGCTCATGGACCAGCGGAGCAATGACGCGCTCAGGGGCATGGTGGGTGTGACCTTGGTGGGCGGTGGGAACCAGAGGGTTACCAGAGGGAACGGCACCGAACTGACAGAGGGAGGGTCAAGGGTCTCATGTAGCGACCAAGGCTTTTGCGCACGTGCTGATTGTATTGTACAGATAGATGCAACCCTTCAGGGCTATGTATGTATGTTGTTACAGGGTGGTATAGCTTCATTAGCGGCCCCCTTTCCCGAGGCAGTTCCCTGCTCTCCCCTGCGAGAGGCGCACCCTAATCCGTTCACCCCATCCGGCTTCAGAATGTATTAGTTGGGTTCAGCAACTCACCACCAGCATCCAATCAAATCTAGCGGATCAACGGCGCCTCAACTTAGTTCCTGGTCAGCTCGCAAGTTGATATAATCACGTCCTACACTGTCCACAAGATGGGGGGCCACCTCCCAATTCAACACCCGAGGGGTCGGCAGGCGGATTTGAACCCGGACACTCCGGGAGCAGAAGTCAGGCCTTAACCTCTGCCATCACCTGCCTAATGTATGTATGTATGTGTGCATACATAGCCGTAGCTACGTACTGTAAGCGGGATGTTCGCGGATACCCCCGGGACACACGTGCTTGTTCTTTGTGAGCAGGGCCTCATGTCTTACGTGCGTTCCTTACCGGGCCCTACTGCCTTAACTCTCGTTGGGAACACCCACACGGGTGGTGGCGTCGTGCAGGCCGGGATGTACGCCGGGGCCGGGGCGGGCAGCTCCGGGGCTCCTGACCACCTCAAGGAGATCATCGTGTTGGGTGCGTGCGGAGCCGGTGAGCAGCTGCCGCAAAACCCGGACCTCCCGGCGGACGTGTTCACGGCATGCCTCACCACGCCAATTAAGGTAGTCAGGGCAGTTGGGCCGCAACCGGAGTCGCCACCCGCGCAGCTACTACTGGTGCATCGCCTTCAATAAAACGCACCGATTCATGTGTCTGGTCTGGGAGGATGAGGCTTATGGCGCGGGGATTTGAGTTGGGAGGGCCCCTCCCTCCCTCCCAGGAGGGCGGTCTAGTGGTTTACCCCTTCTTCGGCTTCTTCAGATCCCCCGGATAACTCATCCCGGGTGGTATCCTGCTACCGCAGCAGAAGTGCGTCCCAGACCCACAGTGCGGTACCTGTGGGTTTGCCGGCCGTTCGGCTGTAAGGCCGTGTTGCCGTGCTGGGTTGAGGAGTGAAGCATGCGACCCGATGTCCCCGTCATTGTGCGCCCCGATGCCTGACTGCCCCGACGGCTGCTGCAGGTGGCTCTGCGCTGGTTCTGCTCTCGCAGCCTGATGCGGCATGACGGGCTGACGAAAGACCTGACCGACAGGATTCCGGGCAAGCAGACGGACCGGAAAACGCCCCTGGGCGAACTGAACTGGATCTTCACAGCAATCACGGATACGATTGCGTGGAATGTACTGCCGCGGCCGCTGTTCCAAAAGCTGTTCCGCTCGGTGCGCTCAGGGCAGGGCAGGGTTGGGTTGGATTAGGTTTGGTTTTGGAGGAGAGACTTCCGGAACTATTTGGGTTCGTTTCCTCCCCATGGTTAGCCGAGTGCACGCCTGTCAGAAGGGTTGAGCAGGAGGGGGAGTAATGACATGACACTTGATGATGTGCGACATGCGCCGGACGGACCAGCATCAGCCCGATGGACCCGACAGCGCAAGTGCCCCAGCTATGATCTGAATGTCGCCATAAGTATGTCCATACGCTTTTACAGCACCAATTGTACTGTACCTTTCCCGCTTGCCCTGTGCGTCCCTCCACTTCTCTCATGGTCCACATCTCATGTGGGTGGGTACTTCGGCCCTAACCCCGTAGGACCTGCTGGTAGCGTCCCTGTTCCGCAATTTCCTGCTGGCGGAGCGCATCATGACAGCGGCGGGATGCACGCCGGTGTCGTACCCGCGGCTGCCGCCGACGCACCAGCACCCCATGTGGCAGGCTTGGGACTTGGCAGCGGAGATGTGCCTGGTGCAGCTGCCGACACTGTCAAGCGATCAGCAGGCAGAGTTTACACCGTCGAGTGAGTGTTGGCAGCTGTCACGGGGGGAGTCGTATTGGCGCTGTAATAGCAGCGGTGTATGCAGCTGTTGGGTCGGGGAGCGCTGGGGTTGCCGCTGTCCCGCCATGACTGGGATAGTAGTAAGATGCCGTAAAACGACGGGTAATACGGGAATTACAGGGTGTCGTTATGACGAACCTGGTCATTGGTTTTAGTTGCGTGTGGAGGTGTTTGTGGTGTGCATCTAATCTCCTGTTTCGCATCCCCATGCATTGACGAATTGTATGTATTCCTGCCGCCTCCACGACGGACTCCCCTGCAGCCTTCTTTTCCGAGCAGCTCACAGCCTTCGAGCTGTGGCTTGCTCACGGCTCGCGGGACAAGAAGCCGCCCGAGCAGCTCCCTATTGTGCTGCAGGTGGGGCGCGGTGGGTGTGCGGGAACTGCAGGCCGGGGAGGAGCGTGGCCATAGCGGGTTCCAATGATGTCAGGCGGGCGGGCTGACAAATCCCATGCCAGTCTCCGCCCGCCCCTGCCTCCTGCTTAATTACAAGACTTGACTGCTATATGACCGCCCTATGCGTGTGTATCATGGCAGCCCATCCGGGTCAGCACCACCACGACTGCAAAGGACCTCATGGTGGATACGGCGAGGATTGATTCCGTTAGTCTGCTAGGCATTAATCTTAGTGTACCCACCCCTCTTGGCAGACCTTCCTCCTTCGTTCCCCCAAACACCTCAAAGTCTGAAGTTGCATCGTACCCACCTCTCTCAGGTGTTGCTGAGCCAGGTTCACCGGCTGCGAGCGCTTGTCCTGCTGGGTCGCTTCCTGGACATGGGCCCTTGGGCAGTGGAGCTGGCTCTGTCGGTGGGCATCTTTCCCTACGTGCTGAAGCTGCTGCAGACCACCAGCTCCGACCTGCGCTCCACGCTGGTGTTCATCTGGGCCAAGGTGCTGGCTCTGGACCGCAGCTGCCAGGTGCGGCAGGGAGGGCACCACAAGGGGGGACTGAGGGGCCACCACACAGCTCAAATGCAGATACGAACGTGCGCAGGATGGCGCTGCCTTGTTTGTCATTGGCGGTGATGGGCCAGAGTGAGTCCAGCTAGCGGCTGCTGCTGCTACGGCTACCAGGCACAGCTGGTGTAGTCGCACAGACGTGAAAAAGTAGTACCGACACTTGGCGGTCGTGGTGTGCTGACCAGCCCCTGTGTCGAACAAACCGTCGTAGCAGCACTACTAGTTGCAAGTGTTAGGTTGCCTCCTTTGATTGCGAGGTAGCCGGAAGTGTAGTGTAGACTTGGACCTTTCACCATTCGCGGCAGCATTCACCTTCGATGCGGTACGGTAACGCTGCTACGTGTTGAAGTGAAAGTTAGCAACAATGTCTCTCGTGTTCGATAACCTCTCGCCCGCAGGCTGACCTGGTCAAAGACGGCGGCCATCTGTATTTTATCCGCTACTTGGACAGCGTTGATGGACACATTGACCTCTACTCGCGCGCACAGGCGGCCTTCGTGCTGTCCGTCATCTGTGACGGCCATCCAAAGGCACGTTGTGTTCAATGGCCTGGGGTTGGGTGAACTTCGTACCTGCATAACGGACCGTATGAACCGGGGTGGTGACGGGCGTCCGATTTCCTGCCAACGGAAATTGGTGGGAAACTGTACAGCCGTGCAGAACAGACTGACACACGGGCACATGGTGAAGGGCAATGATGGGGGCAACGAAGGGACCACAACACTTTTGGGAGCTTAAATGAAGCCTGCCTGCCCCTGCCCTTGCCGTTGCTCCCTGTCTTTTCCATGTACCTCATACCGCCAGCAGGGCCAGGCCTTATGTGCGCACAGCCAGCTGCTGGCAGTGCTGCTGCGGTGGCTTCGCTCCCTGGCGCCCGTCAACATCACGTACGGACCTCCGGGCCACCCGCTGCTGCTGAGGTGGCTCTGCCTCAGCATCGGAAAGCTATGCGAGGACATCCCGGAGGTGGGTGAGGTGAAGCGGGGTGGTGGACTGAGAGCCGTACTGGAGCGAGGGGAGGCGGGTAGGGTGTTTTACTAAGCATGGAAACTTGAGGGACTGCTTTCCTCAATATGCCGCGCAAGTATTTGGAGTGTGTGAGCGCGAGGTGTAACGTAGACGGAACGGTAATGCGTTTGGTGCCGTACCCCTCAACAACCCCGCTTAACCTATCCGCTCTGCTTCTCTATGCCCCTTGTTGTGGCGGTGTGGGTGCTCCTGCGCTTCTTGGCACTGCAGTTTTCGTTGCACGCTATTCGCGAGGGGGCTGCGGACATTCTGGTGCAGCTGCTCACCAGCCCACTGCCTGAGATCCGCGCGGCTGCCATCTTCGGTTTGGCCTGCCTCATACACAGCTGCCCGGATCCCAATGACCCGAGCCACCCCGCGCATGCGGCCACCTGCCACCTGCTCCCGGGCGGCAGTATCCACCTGACTGACCATGGCCTGACGCTGACTCCCTCGGAGGACCGGCTGCCCGCGGAGCGACTCATTGCGGGGGCGGTCACACAGGTGAGCGTGTCCCCCGCACCGCCTGCCTGTGGTGGCCATGTGTCGAACCGACAGTGACGGGTCCATGCTGCTTTCCGCCAAGTAGGCTTCAAATAGTATTGCGGTTGTGCAGTAACAGTCGGACGTAGTGAAACGGACGCTGCTGTTTAAATATGAGCCCTAACCTAATCTCTAATGGCCTCTGGCCTGTATTTTTCGAATGCCCCTTTAATGTCAGGTGGTTTATGACCCAGCTGTGTTGGTCCGCGCCGAGCTGGCAGTCCTGTTCGCGCGGTTCGTGCGGGGTCACGGCGCCGCAGTGCGGGAGGCCATGGCCGTCCAGCAGCGGCGGCTCGAGGAGGCCGTGGCCCAGGTGAGCAGCACGTGCGTAGGGTGTTAAAACGTCTGAAGCATCAGAGGTTCCCTCTCAGGACAGCTGAAAGAGTCGCCCTGGTGGTTGCGCGCCACCATGTCTTTTGTGTGGCCGTTGTACGCTTCTGAGGTCTTGGTCCCACTGGCACTGGCTCAGGGCTAAACACTCCGTTCCTTACGGTTTCTTCCTTTGAAGGCACGCGCTGCGGCGGGGCTATCTGGCGATGATGGCAGTAGTAGCTACCGGCCGCGATCAAGCCCTGGCCAGGGGCAGGACGGTAAGCAACCAGCTGCAGCTGAAAGGCACCTCTGTTCGTGATCGTCGGTCAAAGGGCGTGCAGGCGCGTGCGCTACGTGCGACATTTTTACCATGAGGGGCTGTGAGGGTTCCAGCTCTGTTCTTACACTGCGTACAGCTTCCATATGGCTTCCAGTGTCTGAATTCGCTTTGCCTTTTTAGCGGTCGGCATGCTGCTTCAGATTGGTCGCCTTAGCCGTTGCGGTCCCCAGGGCGCCAGGGGGTTTCCAAACTGCTTCATGCATGTGGGCCTTACACGTTGCAATACCCGTTGTGGTACGCAGCTGGAGCTGTGGGCCCCAGGGAGGCGTGGGGGGGAACCCAAGGAGGGGCCGCGGCAGGAGGCGGCGGAGTGCACCGTAGTCCGCAGTCGGCAATGCCAGGAGGCCCGGGCGGGGTTGGGTCAGTGGGGCCGCAGGATGGCGCGGGCTCGGTGCCGGCACAGCAGCAACAGCAGCAGCAAGTGCTGTACTTGAAGATTGCGGAGGCCATCACTATGCTTGCATTGGACCCTGCGCCAAAAGTAAGTGGTGCATTTTCCAATGGGGATTAAGTCGCGAGGTTGGGCAACAGACGGGCCCGGAAGCCTTCTTGGTTTGTTATGATAAAGGCCCCGGAAGGTGTTGTTGGTTTGTGCAGCTGCCGCTTACTTGGTTGACTTGTGAATGAGGCGATTCGGCCGGGATGGGATGGAACTCACAATTTTCGTGGTTTCACCATTCGGTGTAACGATGCCGGGGAGGGGGAGAGGGGGAAATCTCTTTCGCGCGCTTCATTTTACAATGTCACTTCACACACTATCCTAACTTTGCTTATGTGCACTTTGCTCTCAGGTTGCTCGGTACGGCCGCGACGTACTGCGGATCGCGCAATACGAGCTGTCTTTCGCCGCGGCAGGCGGAACACATGGCGCAGCCAACGGCAGCATGTCGCCCCGGCGGGGAGACGCGTCTGTTGGTGAGTGGCTGCGCCAGGTTGCAGCTCCTGTGTGCCGCTCCTCGTGGCAGATGGACGTCTGTGATGGATGCTGTGAGGCCGTGGCAGCCCCCCGCCCCACTGCCCCCTGAGGCTATGTCGGAATCCTTCGTGACACTGCCGGTGTCGGCCGCCCTTCCTTGCTGCTCACTGTACGACAGGCTCGTTTGCCGCCAAGCTGAAGCCGCGCTCGTGGCGTAGCGGCTTCACCATCGCCGGACTGCCCAACCTGTCGCGCACCTCGACCGATCCGCATGACCCGCACCACGCGGGCTCAGCCTCCTCGTCGTACAACCCGTCTACATCCGTACCGGGTGTGGCGGCGGGGGGAGGCGCCTCCTCTGGGCCGCCCTCAGCCATGATGCGCCGTATGCCCGCGGGTGGTGCGGGCGCAGGGATGGGCGCCGGGGCCGGCGGGAGCGGAGGTGCGGCAGCCAGTGCCGCTACGTCCACGTCGGCATCACCACCGTCACCTGGCCGGGATGTGAACCTGGCGTACAGCAGACATCCGTACACGTTGCGCACAGTGTCAGGTAAGTATTTCCAGTTGCAGGCACGGACTATGTGGAACTATATGTTGCAAGAGTGCTCTTGTGAGAGTGAGTGCTCCTGTGCTCCTCCTGTTGCCGAGGCATCCGTGTGCTTCTTCACAACGCAACGGCACGACGTGTCACCTGTTGGGGCGCTGATGATGATTTCGCCTGGAGCAAAGGAAATCTGGTCAAATGGTCGTCAAGAAGCGCTTCTAGTGGGACCTTCCTGTCTCTGCCTCATGTCTCATGTTGGTGTGCAGACCAGCCGTACTTGGGGCCTGCCGCTGGTGGCTCTAGCGTGGGCGGCCTCAGCGACTACGACCAGACCCATCACGGGGGCCACCATAGCTACGCTGATACACGGGCACATGGCGGCTCCGGGCTGGCAGGCGCCATGCTGAGTGGGGCCCAGGTGAGAAGGGAGCGAGGTCAGCCAGCGGTGGGAATGAAGTGAGGCCAGCTTGCGCTATTGTGCACCGGCACGGCGATTTAAACCTTGTCGGTCCCTTGCATCATGGCTTTTCGTCGAGCGAGCCGTTGGCGCGCCGTTGACTTGGTGCTTTGCGCGCCTCCGTTTTTTTCCTTCAGTCCTTCATATTCTTTTGCATGCTGACCGCTGCGGCGCAGGACCCCGCGCCGGCAGGCGCGTTGCCTATGGGTCAGCCGGTACCCGTTCCTAGGAGTCTCATCTACGGCCTCTCGTGCGAGTACTTCAGCAGGCCCATGCTCGAGCCCCAGGTGGGGGGGAATTGATTTTAATATATAGCGCTTGACTCTCTAGGGCACAAAGGAATGAAAAATGTTAATTAACTTTTCGTTTTAGTGTTCCCAGCTGCAATGAGCTCTAAAGAGGGAGGGCGCGCCCATAATCCGGCAGGGAGATTGTTATGACGTGCAAGAAAGGGAGGGATGGGATCGGTTGCGCTACTGATCTACTGTTTAGTCGTCGCCTGGACAGCCCCCGTGTGGAAGGGGTTGCGTCGACATCGAATGCGTTCTCTCGTGCCCTAGCAAGCTCTGATGGACAGCGCCTCTCCACGCCTACCTGGTCAGACGGTTGAGGAGTTATAACTTGCCCCTTGTGCTCACCCATGGTGCCCGCCGCCGCTGGCCGTCAGTCATCCGCCTGGCGGGAGTCCGACGGCGCGAAGTTGTGTCCTTGGACAGCCCCTGTCGACCCGGAGCGTAAGGCGCGGCGGCGTGCCATGATGGACATGGCAGCGGCGATTTCGAAGGCCATGCGCACGCCGAAGCTGCGTGAGCAGGTATGGCGCTGTGAACGGCATATTTTTCATTTCGTTGCTTGGACCTGGTCCTGGTCCTGGTGTACCTTTGGTCCTCGACGTTTAGGCCTTGCGTGTGTCGAATGTTCGTTTTTGTGTGAAGCTATGTATGAAAGAAGCTCGTTCCAGCAGCAGCAGATCCTGGCTTGTCCACGTCGTTAGGAGGGACCCCTTAACCCGTCTTGAGCCCCTACGCACTTTCACTTCCTCTCGTCCAATCCCCGGGCGCGCTTTCGCTATGCCCACCAGCTTCACTCAATCGAGTCGGGGCCGGAGCCCGTATCAGCGCTGACCTTCCACCCCTACCACCAAGTCCTGGTGTCGGCGGACGTGCGGGGTATGCTCAAGGCACACACGTACCCCGATAACAAGCTGTTGAATAACTTCCACGTAACCAACGGTGAGAGGGACCAGGGAGCCTCAGACCACCTCTTGACGTAACTGTGACTCTCGATGTCCAAAGTAAGGGATCCGTTGCCGACGCTTAATATGCGGAGGGACTTACGGCTACTCTTGGACGTGCTTCAGTGCGACTAGGGGACGACTGCCCCGGCATGCCCTACAACACTTGGTTTCCGACAACCCGTTCCGGATGGATGTGGGTAACGCCTTTCTGCGTTAGCCTCTGCCAGTACCAAGGTAGAACCCTTCTAAAGGTCCCCGTTGTGTTGTGCACCCAGATGCGGATATCGACAATTGTCAGTTGCTCAGCCCTCGACCCGCTTGCTTGAAGCCACAACTTGGGCATCAGTTCCCATGCCTGGTTTTATAGCTTAGTCAAGCTAAGGCGTTAGCGTTGCAACAGCGATGTCCTTTGCAAGTTGTCATGAAGGCAGCGACTCCGCCCTCCACACAATTGGTTACTTTCGCGAGTGGAAGTGAGATGCGGATTGCGGCTCCTTGGCTTCCCCCACCGCCTGTCCGCGTGTATTGATAGGGGCACCGCAGGCCGAGTCGCGTACCTCGCTGCCGTCCCGAGTCGTGTTCTTGCGACATATCAACGAGGCGGACGGTCCACTCCTCATGGCGGGTAGTGCGGATGGGGCGGTGCGGGTGTGGCGCTCCTACTTAAACCAGGGAGAGCAGCGCATGGCGACAGCCCTGCAGGTGAAGTACCCCTGAGCGTCGGGTGTGGTCTTCCTCGGGCTTTGCGGAAAAAACATATTTGCATGTTAGGATTCTAACATGTTAGGATTCTGTTGCTAATAGGTGCACATCTAGACGGTGTGCAAATCGATCGCCGCCAACTTCGTTGGTGGCATTTCCAGAAGGGATTGGTGAGTTTTAGGTTGCTCGTCCGCTCATCATAACCCTTCACCCGCCTGGTGCTTCCCCCAGGCTGTCTCCATACATCTTGTGCCGACGCTGTCGTTTCCGACCGTCTACAACTGGAGTCCTTCAGCCTGTCACCTGTTCGCCTCGGGTGGCAAGCAGCCTGACTACATTTACGTGTGGGATCTGCTTAGGGAGCACTGCCACGCCGTACTCCCGCTGGCGGGGGCACCAGGGGGTTCCACAGCTGCTCCAGGGGGCGTTGTGCCGCCGGGCGTCGCTTGGCCGGCAGCGTCAGGAGCACCGGCACCTGGCGGGACGGGTGTGGAACAGCTGCTGCTTAGCACGTTGGATCCCAACCTCTTGGTCCCTGTATGCACCGACGGTACGCTCCGCATCTTCGATCTGCGTGCCCCTGCGGCGCCTCGTCTGATTCTGCAGCCTCTGGGAAGGGCCGCTTTAACGGGTTCAGTGCTGGAACCCGGCGGCCGCCAGGGCATGGTGGTGGTGGCTGGGGAGAAGGGGGAAATGCGCTGGTTGGACTTGCGCGGTGGCACGGGTGCAGGGCCTGGGGGTGGCAACGGGGTGGCGACGGTGTTAGCTGAGGAGGCTCCTGGCCATAGCGGGCCCGCCAGTGCCGCTGTTGACGCGGCCCTCACGTACAAGACAGTGCAGGCGCACACGAAGGGTGGCGTATGTGCGCTGGCTGGCCACACATTGGCGCCTTTGCTGGCAACAGGAACGACCTCCCAGGTGTGAGGGTGTCCGCGGCAAGGGGGATGCATGCACGGGTCGCAGCCGGGGTTCTTAGTCCAAGTCAGGCTATGTATAGAGCATGATTCTGCTGTTTCGTTCTAACAGGGTTAGCAGGGCTACTGTTTGCCTGTGAGCGGAAATTGATCCGACCTTGCTTTTTGATTGCCAGGTTGTCAAGATCTGGACAGACGATGGCGACGTGGTTGGCACGCTGCGCCCTGGCAACAGTTCCAACCTCCTTGCGCCGCACAAAGTGGGCCCGATTACGACTATGGCGTTCCATCCTTACCAACCTGTACTGGCAGCAGCAGGCATGGACCATTGCACCGTCTACGAACTGTACGATCCAGGGGCTGCAGATCGGGCAGCCGTGGCTGTGCGAGCGGAGCGGGCCGGTAGCATAGCATAGCATAGAATAGCCATAAATAGCTGTTGGTTGGCACACGTGCTCTGGCCTGCTGTAGCCCACACCCCTCTAGGGCGGCGGGGGTGTTGAGTGTTTGTTACGTTGTTTGACGTTTTTGTGCGACACTGTGCAGGAAATCTCGCGAAGGGCGGCAGGGGGCGGGACGGGAGAAGGGAGTGCAGGGTTTTTCTTTTGCAGGGTTCTGTTGCTGAACATTGTGGTTCCGGGAGCGATTTTTCTGGATCTGGAACGGCGCACCGAGGACGTGACGTAACTAAACCCTCCTCGACTGGACACGGATGGACTTGACTAACTTCCGAAAACCATGTGCCCAGTGGGATGGAGTAAATGGGTGAATGAATTTTATGTGCATCGGTAGGAGAAGATGGTTGTAGTGGCCTGAACATTATCGGCACCGAGGCGAACTGGCCTCCCGCATAGAAGCAGGGCGCTATCGGTCGTTACGGGGATTTATGGCCTTTCTCGAAGGACGGCAAAGTACGAGTCAAGTGGCCACGGAAACTCCGTGCTAGTTCTTGAATGGCGTGATTGTAATGTGCGGCCCTTGGCCGTCGTCGGATAGTCCGAGAGTCCGTTGGGGCTCCCAAATACCTTTCCAATGACGGAAGTCGGCATTCAAATTGACGGGCAGTCGGCATTCAAAGCGCAACGGTGCACGCGACATTGTATCCCCGTCGCATATGGCGCATATTGCGCATCAGCCTTGTTACACCACAGTAATCCGCCGGGCATTCTCCCCCCTGAAAGTTGTGGCTGCCCGTTTCATACCGTGTACTTCTAGCCATCTTTCAGGCTAACTCGTAGCAAAACTTGCGTTGTCAAAACACCGTTTTGCCAACCGGGGCAGGAATCTATTAATAACCTCCAAATCGCTGTACCGCCATCTAAGCAAATGGAAATTGGAATCAAGATCACAAGAGTTGCCCAATCCTGAACACAACTGAGTCTGCCGAGCCGATCGGCCTTTGTATGTCATTAGTCATCATCGAAAGTGACTTTGCTTGCTTTCGCGTGCACGTCGACATCACGGAAGTGTGCGCCATACATCTTTGACTCCTTCTTCTTGACCGCCGTCCCAAACTTGAGGAGTTCAGCCGGGACCTCTTGCCCCGCCTCCCGTAGCACGTTTATAAGCTCGCCTGCCCGGGGCTTGTCTGGTCCAGCGCAGAAGAAAGTGTGGGCGATACCTGCGGTGCGGTGCATACATATTCGACACATCAATGGAGGATCAGCCGAGTATCTTCGTATATACGTATTTGTGCCTGTGCCGACAAGCACGTGCAAACACTAGTTGAGTCCAGCTTTTGCTACCAACTCCCACCAGGTTGCCTAACAGCCTCACCAGTCTTCCCCGCTCGGCCTGTGCGACCTATGCGATGCACGTAGTCCTCTGTGGTAAGTGGGAAGGAGTAATTGATAACGACCTGTACAAAGGGGATGTAAGGCATACGTAAGTGTATTTCTACAAAGACCGGATCTAGTAGTGCGGTTCTAATACGGTTGCATTGATAGCCGCAATGTGGCACAAGCGGTCCATGCTTGCGGAATCGCCCGGTTCAATTTGCAGCTCGATCACACAAACGTTGCCCGCACGGGGGCCATCTGAGAGTGGTAGGGCTTTGCTGGGTGGGGTCTGATGGCCCTCCGCACTTGGGGAAACTTCAGATTGTTTCAAGATGCCCTGTCTGCACCGGTGCGTTTCATTTCCATTACCGTTATTGCAAAAGGGCTTTCTACGGTCACTGCCAAATGCCATGGGCCGAAATCCAAAGGTGCTGGGCATGGTAGCAATGCCTAAAAGTGCCTAGCTTTACCCATCCGGCCAATGAGCGACGCAAAGGCGCAGAACCTACATCACCTTGCCAGGCCCACCTCACCAGTCCGCTGATCCTACTGAATAAGCAATCTTACCTCAACGTCCGGGATGTCCAAGCCGCGCGCAGCCACATCCGTCGCAATAAGCAAAGGCACGACCCCCGACTTGAACTTATCCACAGCGTCCGTCCGCTGCTGCTGGCTAATGTCGCCGTGAATGGCAACAGCCTTTACAGCAACACCGGGCGGGAACAAGTAAGCATGGCACAAGTAAGCATGGCACAAGTAACACATGTTGCGCAGTGGACATCGCAAAGGAAACCTAGCGGTGACCACAGTTGGTTTCCCGTGCAAAGCAAAGCAGGCAAAGCAACACCTGCCATACTCGTGCCTGGACGCAACTCACGCAACTCCAAATCGCATCCATTAGCGAGTTACCCAATCGCGAAATGCAAACTAACTAACTCTTCCCAACTGCCCGGCTTAGTTGGGGATTTGAGGCGACTTTTCGGCAACACGCGGCGCCTCATGAAGCGGCCTCTGCAGCCAAGTACGTTTTCCTACCAGCTTGCCTTGCATCCAGATTTCTACGTACCTTCCAGCCTTTGCGGCTGAGCAGTTGCTCAACGCGCGGAGCCTCCTTCTTGTAGAGCACAAAAATGATGACACGGTTCTTGCGACCCTTCGCGCCGTGGTACTGCTGAAGTAGCTCAAGCAGCCTGCCGTCACGCGCATTCGGATCAATGACATCCACCCGCTGAGTGATCGAATGACTGGCAGCAAGGTCCTGGCTTCCAATGGTGACCTGTGCGGGACGATACACGATACACACAAGCTATTCATCATCGCATACTAGGGCGGTCTTGATGGCGCTTAGCGTTAACAGCAGTATGCATCCATGAAGGGATGATAATAAAGCTCTTTGGAATAATCCGGTTAAAAGAAAGGTTCTGCCCTTCTTTTCGGCTTACCCTTCCACCGTGCCGCTCACCTTCACGGGATGTGACAAGAACGCAATGGCCAGTTTCTGCACCGCCGCAGGCCACGTTGCGCTGAACATAAGCGTCTGCCGGTCGGCCCGAGTAAGCCCCATGATTGCACGGATGTGCGGCTCGAAGCCCAAATCGAGCATACGATCCGCCTCGTCAAGGACGGCGTATGTGACCTGCAGCAAATCATTGATTGAATTGCACATTAGGACATTCCGTGATATCAGCCAAAAGGGATGACCCGGTCGAACTCTGTCGAGAGTTGTTCCACATCACACCAGAGCAAATACGCAAAAGCCTCCTCACAAGCTAAGGCTTGTTTAGATGCGTCCTATTGCAGGTTGACGGTGCCTTACTGCCACGTGGCCTTTACTTGGTGGCATCTTGTCGAGAATCCCCCGAACCCCACGCGGGATGGAGCCCAAACACAGGTTAGATACCTGATATCTTGGGAAGGACACTCCACTACCCACAGGTGTAGAGTTGTGCCCGGTATCCATTCACAACACTACACCACGCCCATGCACCCACCTTCTTGAGCTGCAGCACCCCGTCGTTGAGCAGGTCCTCCATGCGGCCGGGAGTGCCCACCACAACTTCCACACCGCTTTTGAGCGCGGCCACCTGCGGCAGCACCATTACGCGTTACGTACCGTTCTCCCCGCTGCCTCCGAAAGCCTGAACGACTGGCACCTGAGACTGACTTGTTACCCACCTGGGGTCCCTTGGGAACACCGCCATAAACGCAGACGGTCCGCACGCTGCACTGGCTCCCAGCTTCCTGTGCGAGAGCAGAGACACGGACGTTTTCAAACTGGCTGGTGGACTTGCTGGGCGGTGAAATACTGGGCGCCTACGGTGTCGCCGTTGGATGACGACAAGGGTAATGCAGATGCCGCCTTAACACACCGTAACGAAATTTTCGACCTTCACAAGTCGTGTGTGGTACAACTTGAGATGCATATACCCGTCCCGTAACGAGCCCGTACGAGCCGGGAGCCCAGCGGACAAATAAGAACTGACCAATGGAACAGTGACAGAAAGAAACACACAGCCGTCAAGAACTGAACATTTTTGTATCAGCACGTGAGCCAGAGATGAGCCAAATACTGTACAGAAGGGCATCCTTGGCGGCAAGCCCCACCAAGATAGGGGTCCCATTCGTGCTCACCTCCAAGACCTGGTTGATTTGCAAGGCCAGCTCCCGGGTAGGCGCCATCACGATGGCAAACGGGCCCTTACCGGACACCACACCGTTGTCGCGCTGGGCGGCGATGTGCCGGAGCATGGGGAGTCCAAAACCGAGCGTCTTGCCGCTGCCTGCACGTTTCAGTACCAGTGTTCAAAACATGCGGCAGGTCTTAAGGTCGCAGCACACAACAGCAGGCAGCCAACCACCCACATGTCCACACCAAGTCAATCCATTCCAGGTCGGCTTGCAGACAAGCCGTGCACCTTTCTTCGCCTCCCATGCCCCCTGTCGCAAACCCAATTTGCCCCCAGCTCTCTGCCCAAGAGATTACCGTGACAAGAATACCGTGAAGAAAACGAGCGACGAGTCGCTACTCTTATTAGTCGCATTTCCTGAATGTGTGGGATACAGGTGTTTAGCATCACCCGTGGCCACTAACCTGCCAGTCCCTACCATCAACTGTACTTCAGGTCACCCTCATCCTTCCCACCCATGCCCGCCAGATCGGTGCTCATATAGCACCCACCACAACCGGGCTCTGGTGGTGGAATCTGCTGCCGGGTAAACGGCGGCGACAACTCCACTCCTGGTCGGCTTGCAGGTCACCGCGATCGGGTCCATCACCGCACACCGACGTGGCGGTACATCGACCCTCTCTAACATTCGGGGGATTTTTATCCTGCTCACTGTCGGAATCTATCCTAGAACCTCCAGGAACACAATGCCGCGCCTTACTGTTGTGTCCGAATATGTGCTGTTTGAGCAATGTGGAGAGCGACTACTCACCCGTGGCTGCGATACCAATCAGGTCCCGTCCCGCCAGGATGATGGGCCAGCACTGAGCCTGGATAGGGCTGGGCGACACGAAGTTCCGTGTGGCGTGAAGCATGTCCGACGGGAGCCCCGTGTGCTCGAACGCGAGCACCGGCTTTATGTCCGTAGGGCCGCCTGCCGTGTCAAGTAGAATGGTAAGGGCGGGAAGGGCAGTGCACAGACAGCCGCAAACGTGTCGTGTGGTAAAGCGTAAGGTTCAGCCGTATACGCCTTACACCAGTCATGTGTGTCAGTTCACATACAGCCCTCCGGAAGCTGATGTTCGTTCCATAGCACTGCCACGGGTTCGCCGAGGCGTTCAGTGTGGAGCTGTGGTTTCGATTTTAACCCAGTATCATTAAAATCCAAATGCAGTACCATAGAGAATTTGCCACGAAGACTGCTGGTGTAAGGTACGTATTTTCTATATGTGGCTACTGCCAGCTTAGGCATGCCAATCCACACTGAGCTCAGCTGTTACCACAGGCACATGAACTTACCCGCCTCAAAGTCGTCCTCCGGACCAAAGCCCTCAATAGTGATGCGCCGCTCAGAGCGCACCTCGGCTACACGCTCAGCTGTGAACGCGGTGACGTCGGGGTGTTCGTTGTACAACGACTTGATTATTGGCTTGCCAGCATTCGCCAGCTGAGCGTCACCAACCATAGCATGTTTGCTGTGATGCTTGCTATGGTGATTGTGGTGGCGCGTATGGTGGTGACCGTTGGCGCTGGCCTGCCCGTTTGCGGCGGCTGTGTCCTTCTTCTGCTCCCGTTTCTGCTTCTTTGAGGGTTTTCCGTTGGCGGTATCATCCGTCGTAGGCTCACAGGTGCTGTCCTGTTCGCGCTTCTTCTCTTTCCGCTTTTGCTTTCCATCCGCCGGGTCCTCGGCACCAACTCCCGTGAAGGTGGCACTGTCCGCAATCGCCTGCTCCCACTTACTAATCTTCTTCTTCAAACGCGCCTCTTCGTCACGCCCCGCGTCAGCACTTATTGTACCGGCGTTGATTCGTTTGGTAAGCTTAGCCAGCTTCTTCTGGAATAACGCAAGCTTGGCAGCAGCATGTTCCGCCGTCATCGCTCTGCCAAGCAAGTTCTACAGGACGACACACACACACACACACACCCCTGCAAATCCCAATCCGAGTTCAAGGTGATCAATCGGAGAACGAAAAAGGTATGCCACAAGGATGGAAATGGTCCAGTGGCAGCAACAACATCCTTGCAGATGGAATCCCCAGCGTAAACAGGCAGCAAAAAGAGGCATTTTTAACTCGAAAGGGAAGTGCCCGCATATCTTGAAGATGCTTCTAGGAAACTTTAAAGCCGCTAAAGCAAAACACTTGAAACCCGTGGCAGGGCAGGTTGAGCAACATATCTACGCAAAGCTCGTGGACCTATTAACCCACCAGGACCTCTTGACGGCGACCGCCGCCGATGTCGCCTTCCCGTTCCCTGTTGCAACAGGTCGCTTTCCTGGCCTTTATCAGGTACAGCAATAACCGATATGTTTGTTTGTTAGAACTATGCTGACCACGCGTATTGCGTACCAGGCGTAGCGTGGCTTTAAAAGGCAATCAAAGTGGTGTGAGCGGAAAGGACTACGCAGACACAGAATAACAAGTTGCTGAGGAATGCTTGTAGATGATGAGAAATACACGTATTGGAATCGGAGCTGGAACTTGTACGCCGTCGTCGCCCATTAGAATTCCTGTCGGACAACGAACTCCGTTGCCTCCATAGGGCATTATAATAAGCTCACTTATAATCTCTGCCCCGGAAGAAACACCCTATACGTATTCTGTACATTATAATACCATTAGAGGAAGCCTGTGCCCTTTCTTCCTTTATACCGCACGTTTGCCTGTCCTACTGTTGCGTATTCTCATCAAAGCCTCTGCAATCCTATTCATGAGAAACCTGTAGCAGAGGACATGTTGGAATTGGACCTGTGGCAGGCCGTGCGGGCGCTTCGACCCGAGGACGACGCGAAGGTAATCGATGTCGGCGCCACCTCGTATGCATCTATCTGGGCTCAGTATGGTGGCGATTGCAATGACACCCAGGGACATAAGGCCACAGCAATTTTCTACGCTGGCAACCTTCTAGACCGAGTGCTCGCATTCCACTATGGCGCCAATTGCCCCATCAGAGATGTTTCGCAAGGCTTTCCAGGACTTTGTGTCGGACATCGATGGCCTGCGCTTAGGGGACGCGAAAGCGGCACAAACTGACTGCAAAGCCAGGGAGGCCAAGGCCGCAGAGGGTGCCGGCACGCTCGTGAGACCCGTCCCCCTCCGCAAGCTCTTCCTTGTGAGTTTTATGAGGATTACAACCCGAATCCAGAGCAAGGGGATGCGAGTGTGGGAATGGGACAATAGTTGCGTGAATAACATCCTGGCACATCAGGAACCGTGCAGGAAAATTGGATAATCTTTTCAATATGTTATAATTGCCCTTTGATAATCCCCGCCCCAGGACCGAGTTATCAATCTTGTTGTCGGAGGCAAAATGCGTGAATGCGCTACCCTTCATCACCTTGCGGATGATACCGGGTGGAGCCCGGGTATGTTGTGGACAACCGGGCACAGTGTACGACAAGACCGGTACCATAGAGCCAAACAACAAGGGCTTCTTTGGGTGTGCTGTGTGTAGCAGTGGCGCCCTCCCTGCCAAGAGGTTTCCCAGCTTGATTGCTATCGGAAGAGGTGCAGGTCCAGCAGTGAGAGTGGAGGTAGGTCACTGAGTAGGCCAGGCACCAGTCGGTAATTACCTACCCCCCCAACAGGCTGTACCATTGCTCACGCCATCATAGTTTGATTAGTCACACCGCAAGTTACACCACTACCCTGTTCGAACTGTACATTGATGATGGATTCCATCGTGCTGTGAAGAAACGGCCAGGAACCTTGGTGTTGGTGGCATCCTCAAAACAGTCAATGTCCAGGTAGCGCCCCTGCAATGAGGGGCGGTGTAAGAGCTGTTGATAAACCTCGGGATGCAAGCTCCACTGGGTGACATCCTCTTCCTTGCTGATACAATCCGCCTGCTGCTGAGCTGCTGTTTGGGGATACCACACTGTCTCAAATTCCATGTCGGAACAAGCACTAACTCTATACAGCCGTGCCACTTCCTCCAGGTATTGGCCCGTACCCTTCTGTCCCAGAATACAGAAGTGAGCAGGCTGGCTATCCATCTGGTACTGCACTCAAACCCTAAGTTTACAAGTCCACAGATCAGTTCCGGTGCCTGCTCCTGCAGCCATTCCAACACCAATGTGGCTGCCCATAGTTCTCGCACCGTGCTGCTGAGGCGGCCCTCCACCAATTGCTGGATCACATCCTTGGAGAAGGGAACTTGCATGACTGCATCTCCAAGCTCACGGTTGGGTAGAAGGGCTGCATATGCCTTCTCCGAGGCGTCACCTGCAATCTGTAATTGAATGGCGCTCCATTCCACCACCATGCCCTCCCATCCCTAGTATGGAGGACCTCCAGGAAAGTTGCCGCTGCATCCAAGACATGCTGCGGTTGTCCCACCGCCTCATCCCAGGAGCACTTGCCCTGCAACACTCTTCCCACTAACCTACTATGCAAGGGTGCCAGTGACACTGCCAAACTCATGGCTATAATCTTACCCGCTATGCGAGCCACCTGCCACATGGTTAGTTGTGTAGCGGCTCTAAACTCCGTCACAAAAGCTTCCGTGGTCCGTGTAGGCATGTGATCTGCATCAAGGATGCCAGCTCAATGGCGGGGCTTGATGACATGGCAGAGTGCATGGCCTCTACTCCATCAGGCAGCTTGAAGCTGAAGGGAATGCCTGCACACAGGTCTGTGTGCTGCTGCTCGTGCTGCATGACACTGTGAGCAGCATTCTGGATACTGGAAAACTGATGGCATCCACGGAATCTGCCGGTGGTGAAGGAGAAGGTGCACATCGTGTATGAGTGCAGGCCCTCATCTTGTAGGCTGTGGTTCCTGGTGGTGGAGTGGTTAGGGTGTCTCATGTACTGGGCTCACATGCCCTTTGGTATCTCCCTGGCTTGCTTTCTGTACACGAACATGAAGTTAGAGGTGTTCCAGCCTGTGTGGGACTATGGAGCCCATCTCACTTTCCTCATCGATGATTATGTGGCAGCAGCCAACACAAAGATCGAGATTAGTTCCTCTGCCGTATGGTGGTCATGATTTTGGTAGCCCTAGGTTTTATGTTGAGTTTTAAGAAGTGCCACCTCATCCCGGTGCAACACCTGTGCTTCCTCGGGCTACTAGTCAATGCATCCAGGCAGGCATTTGAGGTCCCGGGCGGCACTGGAAGCTTTTTGTGATGGAGTTTAGAGCCGCTACACTTAGTTGAAAGCAGTTGCCAAGTGAGAGATGGCCCCCTGCAAGGTTGCAGGGCAAGGCCGGCGATCTGCATGAACCCTGCCTGGGTGAGCGGTGATCCAATGTTCCTCAAAGAACGTCAAAAGTGACACTGGATCACAGTTCAGCAGGCTCACCCAAGGCCGACGCTGTGCAAGCCAGCTATGCAGCTTGTAGGACTGGTTCCGAATCTTATGCCAGCTGTCGGGGGTCCATTGCTGGCATATAGTCTCATATGCAGTTGAAAGTGCCGGACTGGGCATTTGGGGAACTCCAGGCCGACCCTCCAACGAATGAAGGAAGGGTACTTGGCAGCGCTGCCAGCCATAGGGAACACGATGTGGAGCCGGGCGCCCCGGCTCGGTCCAAGCACACATTAGCAACCTGTACGCGCAAGGTCATCTTCAATGCATCAGTACATCCATGACTATCCACCAATTCTCTCGGCACACCTCGGGCTGTTGGCGGCGCCAGGCCTGCTGGGACCGGTCCACACCAGTCGCACTAAAGTTCCATCGCTACAACTTGCGCTGGAAGGAGAAATCCACAACATATTGTGCAAAATCTGACGACGGCTCTTTTGACGAGCCCACCCACCTTCCCTTTCCTCTTTCCTTTCTAGACCATATCTCTGGATTTCTTAGGATTGTCCAGCTACCCGTAACTTATACCGTACATGGCCTTTTGTTGTCGGCAGTGAGACGGGCAGCACTGGAAGGGAAACAGTGGAATGTACTATACATGCTGCTTACTTAGATGCACACGGCAGGAGGGAAGCGAAAGCCTGGTTGATGTTGTTACCGGGTGGTAAAGCTACACCAGTGGCCTCCTTCCCGAGGCAATTCCCTGCTCTCCCCTGCTAGAGGGGCACCCTAATCCATTCACCCCATCCGACTTCAGAGTGTACTCTTTGAGTTTGGCAACTCACCACCAGCATCCAACCAAATCTAGCGGATCAACGGCGCCTCAACTTAGTTCCTGGTCAGCTCGGAAGTTGATTTTATCACGTCCTACACCGTCCATAAGATGGGGGGCCACCTCCCATTTCACCACCTCTCAAACACTCGAGAGGTCGGCAGGCGGTTATGTGCAAGTATGAACTTTTTTGTCTGTAATTTCATTTTGTTTCTTTTTATTCGCGCACGTGACAATTATGTCATGCACAGGGTCGCTGCTTTAGGATCAACGGCAGGAGGCAGACTCTTTTGGTGGTGGAGCAGATGTCATCCGGAAAGGTTGGGACAGCAATGGGTGAAGCGATAACTCCCCTACTTCACACAATCATAGATGGACAAACAGACAGACGTGATGGCACAGACGTGATGTGCAAATGGAACGCACGCACAAAGTCCTGTTGCATTGCAACTGCCATTGTGACGAGATGACTATGGCACCGCAGATCATGGCGGTTATTTTGATGGCGATGCCGCCAGCGAGGATAAGTGTGGGGACGTAGGAGTGCCAGTTCCTATGTATGCCGTGGTGGCGGTGGTAGCGACGGCTTGTGTCTGGACGCCGCTGGCTTGGACGATGGTGCGGATTAAAGGTTTTTTTTACCACCATATCCAGCATGCGGTTTATTACAGCGGGCCCCGAACGGGTCCAGACAACTTCGCACAACACTGTGGGCCCTATCGCTTGCACTGAGTGTCCAGCTAGTCGGGCCAGGGCGCACTAACAGGGCGCTAAATCCAGGAGGCGAAATCCGCAGCGTTCCTACATGCGGAGTACGTGGAGTGCAAATCAGCATATACCCTCTTGGAATGGTGACCATCAGAGCTCATCATGATACGACCCTGCATGAAACTATTGCGGTCGGGGATCGCGGTCTTGTGCTTGAGCATGCAAAGCGAATAGGACTTTACCAGGAAGGCATACGATGTCATTAAGTTTCGACTGCGGTTACTAAAAAACTACAAACAGTTGCAGGAGGCATAAGGCGCAAGCGCGTGGATGGGGAACCATGTATGCTGTTGCCAATGCAGGAGTCTCGTTTCACATGAGGCGTCTTTGGCGCACAAGGAGCTGCAGCCTCGTATGTCCTCGGGCAGGACATCGCGGCAGATTACGGCGTCAGTTGAAACAGTTAGCGAACAATAGCAGTCCCCAAAATGGATTTTAAGATTCTGATAAAATATATCACTTATCCATTCGCATAATTATAGCTGCGATGCAAAAGAGAGGCTTATCATGCCAAAGTAGGTTGCTGACTTGTGCAATCTTCCGCTTTGTCGATTCGTAATATATCTTGGTTATGGCGCAGGCCCAAGCTTAAGGCAACTGGGAGCTCTAAACGCAAAACTGGTGTGATTCCTCGTGATGGCAACCTGCCTGTTTTCCTTGTTTTGACTAATGCACTCGACTTTGCAGGACAATTTCTTGCACGAAAAGATGAAGCTGTTCAGTGGTTTCAACGGGAGGACTTCGATCCTGCCGAATTTATTGGTCTGCTAAACTCCGAGAAAGAGCTTGACCAGGCCCGAAATGAGCTTGTGCAGTTGAGTGATTACTGCAAGCAAGAGGTGAGAGGTACGTGTAATAAAGCTGACTAGTCCTCAGATGTAACACCAGCGTGTATTGCATGGACAGGTGCAGAAGGTCGTCCACGCGCATCACAAGGACTTCCTGGAAGCTAGTCGCAACATACAAGATGTCGAAGTCCTTGTTGACGAGCTTCGCAACTATGTCTCTGGTAGCGTGGCTGTCGTGGCCAACCTCGTGGACCTACCTGCCTTCCCCAAGCAGGTGGGCAAAGGGGCACAGCACCAGAAGCAATAGGCACCTGTTGTCCTGCAGCCATTCGCGTGCAGAACGGATCGATGGTTAATTCTGTCTGCGTGCGCTACTTTGAGCCATGTATAGCGGACATGGGCACTTGCGCCACGATGCCGCCAAGTGGTAACCAAGCATGCGGTGGCACGCTGACACAAATCCCGTGTCTTAATCTTACATGTTGCCGTCTATTTATGCCCTTTACAAGCTCTACGAACCCCTTAGAAGCTTTCCGTAATCTGTGTGACCGCGGCTGCAGCGGTCTTGCATTTCCGGAGCATTTGGGTCCAGGATTTGGGTCCCTTGAGACCGACCAGGGAAGTGCCCGGAAGCTGCTGTGTAACATCAACGTCCCCGGATCACTCAGGTCCCCATCCAGGCCCCCATTGCGTTCAATACCCAGGATTCAATACCTGGGGCCCCGTCGCCCGGACCACATCACCCACGGACCGGAAACATTGGTTGTTTGTTCGCTGTGTCCTCGAACGTCGTAAGGACAGTCCAGTTACCATCGGGAATCGGCACATTTATAGTGTACGGCCTTGTGTAGCTGTTAAGGCTGGCGTGTATTGCTTACCATGGCCACGCAGGGTACGACATCGTCACCGCTTGATGGCGATCTGGCTCGCAGTGAATTGCCGAGCGGTCAGGAGGGACCTTCGACGTGGGAAAGCATCCTTTCCCTGCAGGCGGGGCTGTTGCAAGAGTTGCAGGTTGGTCTCGTCCAACACGGTGTACCAAATTTCCTTGCCTAGCCTTCTGAGGGGCCCTGGATGGTGCACAGTCTCACCCAGGCCGGTGGCACGTTCCGTGGGCACAGGTTGCGGTAGCGGAACAGGAGGTTTCGTTGGCAAGGTCGCTTTTGGATGCAGGACGAGACATAATCGCAGTTGTTGACAGAGATGGAGCACAGCTTGCATCCCAGGTACTTCGGACCATGCGCACTGATGTTTCATGCGCCACTATTGGGTGGTTCCACTGATGCCTCTGCATGTACGACTGCCCGTTCAGGGGAGCAATGGAAGTATTCCGGGTTGGCGGTATGCGTTTGAAGGCGCCCTTGCAGCTCAGAAGGCGATCCTAATAGAGGAGCTGCAGCGCCAGTTGTTGCAGACGAACAGCAGTACACTGGAGCGGCGTCAGGCAGCACAGGTAGGTAGATGACCAATGAGACGGCCTGCTTGCTGGGGCATCAGTGCACTGCAAAGTGAATATGAACACTTTGTGCATTGTTTTCAGAACCTCGGTCTCATCGTTGGGCCAAGCCAAGCCACCCAAGCCCTGTTGGGCTGCCATTCGCTGCGCGTCCGTGCGGCCCAGCAGCACTTGTTGAAGCAGCACTCCGCAGGTGGGTGCGCCGTGGGGTGGGGTCATTGACTCACGCGGGAACTGCTGGTCTGCTGTCTGTACCTATGTCCTGTTGCTGTGCAGAGGAGGGAAGGGAACGATGAATGCATTCTGGCAAAGACACCTTCGTTAGTGCCCTCCAATTTCCCCCTTGTTGTCAGCTAGCTGGTGGTGATCCCGACGGTGTTGAGTACGCTGGTGGACTGGCACAGCGTACATTCCTGGCGATTGGCGCCGCTGCGGAGGACGTGCGGGCTGTGTTCCCGAGTCCTGCATACAGTGCGGGAGCCCTGGAGTCCTCCGACCGGCCCGCAAAGGCAGCAGCCGCCAGGGGCTCTGGGCCCCCTAGCAGCAGCCAGGCGGAGGCCGTGCTACCGCCGGTGTCGGCGCTGGTCGTACAATGGGCTTCGGACGAGGCCCGGCATTGCGCCGCCCTCCTCTGCCGCCACGCGCTAACGCCATTCGTGGCAACAGGCATGGCAGTTGGAGCGCTGCTGTGCGTGGGGCTCGCGCTCGTGTTTTGCGTGGCGCTGGAGTCAAGTCACGGACTGGCTCTACGGGTAGCTTTCATGGGAGAGCTCTGGCCGCTGTTGGAAGGTAAGCGGGGAGGGCAGAGGTGCGTACGCGGCAGTAGAGCGGGTCGCCTGGCTGTGAAAGCGAGACGTGAAGATGCGAAGAAGTGAAGAAGACTTAGGGCACCTTAAGAGCAAATATGCAAATTTTTACTTCACGGCCACCGCTTGCATGTCGCAAGAACTGCATTGCTTTTGCGGTCCCAGCAGTCATTGTTACGCTTACGTCACATCCCTTGCAACGCCGCGCTTAGCAGGTCAAAGGTATCGTTTTCGGAAAGCAGTGTGTTTGGAATGGAGGCTTGGGCATGCTATACCTGCCTGACAAAACCGTTCCAATGAACCTCGTTCCGCCCGCCCCTGTCTGTTTTGATGGTAGCAATTGTTCGGCGCCATCTGCATCGTCTGCGTGAGGAGGCGTCCGCATCTGCGTCTGTGGATGCGACGAACGCTGCTCTGCAGGCGGTCGCGGGAAGCAGTTCGGCGCCAGGGCCTTTTCCAATGCGCGGGGCCAGTGCCACTACTGACCACCTACCCGGCGGCTTTCCCGGGATTAGTGGAGTAAATGGAGGCACGGCCCAACACCCAGACGCGACCTCCTGCACATTCCAGGTCGGTTAAGGAGTAAAGTTATCTTTCTTCAGCCGTCCGGTATATTGAGTGCGCTGTTGTGTACACCATGTCGGCTCGCCATCACGTAACATGTGCTCACGACAGCGGCAGAATGCACAGCCAGGAATGCGGTATTCATGATGATGGATGGCGATTTCGGTGATCATGATGATAACCATGAAAGAATGGTCTTAGTATTAGAATGGCCTTATTACAAATATCGGGCGTACGCAATGAGCGCGAAGCCGTTCACCATTTCTCGCACTTTTTTTCCAGGTGGCGGTGGGCCGACGAACGTCAAGCCGGTCCGCTTGCCTGCCGTTTGTCTAACGCCTCTTCCATGTTCCCTGCAGGAGCAGCTGCCGGTGCTCTTCCCGAGGCCTGACGTGCGGTCAGGCGCGGGAGCACCTGCAGGTCTCACTTGCCTGCACATGCTGCTCCCCGAGCTGAAAGCTCTGGCGGAGGGCCTTGCACCCCTTGCGTCCAGACCGGCAGTAGCCGTGCTCCGCCAGGGGGTGTTGGCAAGTTACGATGCCGTGTGCGAGAAGGTGCACGCGTCACTCTCACGTCTTGTGTCGAGCAACACAGGAGAAGGGGCGAGCAAGGATGCCACCGCTCAGGGTTCCTTTTTGGCTGCATACGTCTCCAGGGCCGTGAAAGCTCTACGAACGTTTGCGGAGTCTGATGTCCAGGTGGGTGGGACCTCCCGCCGATTGAATACTGGTACTAACGAACGGATCGGCATGAACGACAGTTGTGGTAACGAACATGCATGTTATAACTATGATTGGGACAACCTTGGGGTAGCTGCTTTGCATGACGCCATGCGCTGAACATACGGAGCCGCGTCACCGGTAGTGGGTGCAGCCACCGGGGGTGCTGGCTAGATACGTGGAGGAGCTAAACGGTGCCTGTGGACTGTCTGATCCTTACAAACAGATTGTAACTTAAAACTTGCAACGAACAGATTGCACTGGAGTCGTTGGCGTACGTTTGTGGGGCTGTAGCTCCTCTGGAACTTCTGCTGCCGTCACTGGGGCCGCTGAGCGAGCTGCTCACCAAGCTGCCGGAGCCAGCACCCGAAACCGCACCAGCGCAACCCGTGCCGGTGCGACAGCCTCTGGAGCAGCAGCATTCCTTAGGGCTGCTTGACAGGATACGGGTCGAGCTGCGCTCTGATGAGGACGGAGCACACGGGCGTGATGGATGGAGGGATGCAGCCGCACTAGCCCACAGCCCAGAGGCCGGACACAGAGCTTCGGGGGGCCCAGCAGCGCCCGGTGCAGCAGATGTGGCTCGGGTGGTGGACGCGGCCGAGTCCCCTGCACCACGCAAACGCGAATCCGTGCTACCTGAGGCGGGATCCGCCACGGACAAGAGGGATGCCCAGGTTGGGATACAGCCAGGCGCTGGTGCCACGGCCATTCGGGGCGCAGTCCCTGAACACACTGGGGATGAAAGCGCCATTGGAGCTGACACCATTACCCAGCGAAGGCGGGAGACATCAACCGTTCTGCCTGGAGCACGGCGTCAGGAGGCAGAGGGTGAAGCCGTGTCAGATGCAGGCCTGGACGGGCTGGGAGAGTCCCGGAAGCCTCGCCGTCCGCAGCTGCAGCGTCGCAGCAACCTAAGGGCTGACAGCGATGACGGGGTGGCGAGGCCGGCACCGCAGTTTGAACATCTATCCGCGGGTGATGCAGCTGAGCGCGCAGCACCCCGCCGGCGCGACAGGACGACGCAGGACTCCACGGTGGAGGGGACAATGATCGACAGAGGGGAGGGCGGGGTTGCGCTATACCCTGCTCCGCGGCCGTCATCACGGTCCCGACCTGTTGATCAGGGACACTATGCGGGCCAAGGAGGGTCAGGCGCATTGTTTGACGAGAACTTGAGCGAGCGAGCTTCATCCCTAGAGGTGCCGCGCCAGCAGCGGGAGAAGAGAAGCGTGCAGGTCAAGCGCGGAGCGGGGGATTTAAACAATGCAGCGACTAAGTCAGCTTCGCGGCTTGATGGACAGCAACAGGTTGGTGATGAGCAGGAAGCGAAACAGAAAGAAAGCGAGGAGATGCCGCCTGCCACTGGAAGCATTGCCCGTGGCAGCGAAGCAACCCGCAGACGACGGGGCCAGGACCGTACTGTCCGTTTCCAGAAGCCGTCCACGGAAGGTCAGGCCGCCGGGGTTGCAGGGTCTTCCGGGAATGATGATGATGATGATGATGATGATGATGAGGTACCCGCCCGTAAGCCGCAGAAGGTGCGGGCGCAGGAGGGGGCCATGGATTTTGTGCGTCAAGCTTCACGGCAGAATGCCCGTGCAGCCGTGCACTTGGAGGAGCATGAAGGGTCAGGTGGCGATAAGCCGCTGTTGGTGCGGACGTTGCGACCACAGCTGGCGATTTGGTCGCAAACGACGACACAGGGTGCTGATGATGGTCATGATGAGGTCGCAGGCGGTCGTCCGCCAGGTCAGGCACGGGCGACGCGACGGGAACGGGCATTGGGAGGTCGCCAGGGTTCACACACCAGAGGAACCGCTGACACGGATGGGAAGCCGCTCATGCGCAGGCGTGGTGCTCGTGCAGACGTCAGTTCGCTGCCGGACGAAGATGAGGATGAGCAGGAGCTGTCGCAGCATCGGGTTATGCACCATGCCCCACAGGACCGGGAACCTGCCCGAGGCGACACGAGCAACCTTTTGAATGCGATCAGCGCTGCCCGCGAAGCTGCTGCAAGACGGGCAGATGGCGCAACCGCTAGTACTCATGATAATGCGTCCATTACGGCAGCGCCTGGACGAGTTCGTGAGGGCCCTTCGGAGGGTGACGTCAAGGTAGCTGTTGGCGCTGGTGGTCGGAGGCCGAATCGCTTCGGGGTGGTGCTGAGTGATGACGATGGCGAGCCCGTTTCGGCACCTAAGCTGCGGCGGCCCAGACCTGTAAACACAGGAGGACCTGCTGACGCAGCTGCTGCAGCATCAAGTGGAGATGTGACGGAAGTCGGCAGCACTGGGTCAGTACAGGCCAAAGAGGCGGCAGCAACGTCATTTCCAGCAGGCGCTTCACGCCATCAGGATCCACGTGGTCGTCCAGGTCTCCTGGAGGTGAGCAGGCCGCACTTGAGCTATATGTTTGCTATATGTGCAACATAATGTTAAGTGTTGCCTTGGCCGCAGCCTTTAGGTATATTTTGCGGTATGCTGTGCTTACCTGCTGTCCCATTCATGTGTGTGGGACAGGGGGGCATATCTTCACCCGTGGCTGCTACCCGGCGAAACCCTGCCTTCCCCGGTATTTCGGGGCACCCTCATCTAGTCACTCAGTGGATCGCTTAGGTTCCGCACCCACCACCAGCATCCAACAGAACCTGCCGGATAGACGGCGGCCCAACTCCATTCCTGGTCGGCTCGCGAGTCAACTTTATCCCAGATTACCACTGTCCATCGACTAGGGGCACTTTACCTTCCACCATCGGAAGGATTTTCGACCCTGACAGGTCTCGATCCCGGGATCTCCCGGGGGCAATGGTCCGTGCCTTACCAGTAGTGCCCTGACCTGAGTATAAAGTATGTTATGTTTACCTGTACGCTGCACTCGTGAGCTTTGTAAGGCTTCCCCTTGTACTCTTACCACAGGAACGTGAGAGTAGTGTGGCCAAGACGGAGGAAACTTTGGTTACTGGATGGCGGAGGCAAGAGCCTCCAGCTCTGAGTGGCGACTCGGTACCTCCGGGCCGCACCTGCGGATCTCAGTCGCGCGGCACTGGGACGGCGGTTAGTGCGCCTCACGATTTGTCCGGTGAAGGAGGAGTAGCGGCTGCACGAAGGGATTCTGCAGGCAAGCCGCAGACGGCACGCGAGCGCCTTGCGGCTCGTATGGCGGCCAAGGGAGCAGCGCTTGAAGGACTGTAGCCGTTAACTTAGTCCTCTGCAGTGCATGGACCTGAGCACTTCGTGCGCATATGCTAGCCGATGGAGGACACAGGAATAATGCAGTCAATGGTGTTGGGGCACAAAGCCTCAATAGTTACGTGGTGCAGAGGGAGGTTGGTTTTGCTGATTCGGTATGTATGTGCTTGAGGCTGCTAGATGCTGGCCATGGTAGACTGGACGGTGGGACCTGGGGCCGGTGGGTCCAGTGTAACGTTTAGTTATGCGGCTGCACCGATGCGGTGCGGTGGCACCTGTAGGCGGGATGGATGTTGGTGTCTAGCAAAACCTCTGGTCCGCCAGTGCCATCTGGTTTTAGGGCCGCGCAGTTCACCTGTGGCACTGTGCAGACCACCACCGTGCGTAGCCCGCTCTCCACACCACTACTGATATGGTGGCTGTCACTCACCACCTATCTTGGGGTCGGGGGAGACCCAACAGCTGATGAGCTTACAAAGGCCAAGCAGCTACCAACCAGCCTGGGAAGTGAGGATGGTTAAGCATTCTTGCCCTTACACTGTGGGACCGCTGCTTTAGACCACATTATGCTGCCGAAGTCAGCTGTAGCTCCCGGATGCACCCTGAGCATTAACCTTGAGGACGGAGCACAGCCGGGGGACTCGATTAGAGTAAGACAGTCGGAGGACATCACGGGTCCTGGAGCCATGGTGCAGCAGGCAGCTGTCAGGGAGCATCCCCAGCTGGGCCAGCAGCAGGGGCGGACGGTTTTGCGCACAATGCGTTTTCGGGTACAACTTTCCAGCGATTGATTGCTCCATCATTTGGTATGCCAGAGCCATGGCTCCAGCACGAAGCTGCTCTTGGCACTTCCGACAGACGGTAAGCATGCGTCCCATCTTTGTACGGCATGGTTGTTGGGGCCCGGTGACCGCGGTTTCGGCGGCATACGTAACAATGGATAGTTACAGCGAGTCTGATGATATTGTAGAGGTACAGGTAACACATTTGCAGACAATTGGCGTTCCACGCTGCCCGTTGGTCCGGGCCTTACGGTGAACAACTGTCCGAACATATGGCAACTCCTAGAGCCTTGCATTATGCATGTTGCGACCCAATCTCTTACTCTTGCCAACTTCTTTGACATGACGTAGCTTACTAGTTATCAAATGTATTCGTTATCTAAAGGTGTTCATTGCTACCCTTACAACAGTCATGGTCCTCAGTGTAACGCTGTGGATAAGCTTACTTGGACTTATTTCTTTGAAGCATGCCGATTGCCGCGCAGTTCCAATTCGCAACGGTGTTGAGTTTGCACAAGCCCTCGCAGCAGATGACGTTTCAGTCCTGTTAGTAGAGAACGACCTCCACGTCGATGGATCGGCCTGGGAAGGATTAGTCCGGCCCCTCCTATTACGACGTAATGTCACCATACAGGCCTCGCTGGGGACAACTATGCCCATCCTTACTATTACATCAAGTGACAATTCTGTAAGGAAAAGCTATGGAAAAGGTCGCGGCATAGGGCCCTCCCTCCCTCCTTCAATGTTCTCAGTCAACATGGGCACGGTCCCATGACTGTACGTCCACAGGTCCGCCTTGCGGAGGGGGTAACTCTAATGGTGACCGGGTTCATCAATATACAGAACAGGGCGCGCCTGGGGCTGCAGTCCCCAGGTGTCGACCTCCTGGCGCCCTGCCCCGCGAACGAGAGCGGGTCGTTCGTGGTCTTGCAAAATGGCATGCTCGTACATGGTAAGTTTAATCCAGCGATATCCGGAGCAGATTTCAGCTGTGGTGTTGTACCTGCTTGCAGGATTTGGGGGGTGGGCGGGAGGAAGGCCTCTGGCCTAGAATTGAGGCCGAACTCCTGATGAGAATCGCCGTACAGCTGGGGCTGTTGGGATACCGGGGTTGGGGTGGTTAGGCCGTGGGGTGGTCCAGGATGATGGTTTTGTGCAAATTCATTATTTGGTTGCTCCGGGTTCTCTTCTTGTGGGGATTTTCGCGGGGTAGCTTGGCACCAAGAGCGCGTGTGCACCGCGAAGGCTGGACATCCCCGGTACGTTGCCTTTGCAGCGGCCGCTTTGGAAAGGGATGTAAAGGCGAATGAAGCCGCAACCATCCATCTGTTTCCTCCCCTAACGCTTCCTAAACCAGCCCTTTATGTCACGCCTCCTTAAGCTCACCGCTATTGGATACCGGCATGGGTAACCCCGCAACCGCCTTTCCTCCCTTCCCTGCCCGCCTGCTCCATGCTCAACCGCAGCCGTGTGCTGGCCTCCGGGCCTCCAGGCGGCCACGCTGAACAACATGACCCGCCCCGCCGCCTTCCCTGGTGTCCAGCAGCTGCGCCCCACACTTCCCGCCCAGGCCCTCAACTGCTCCAACAGCAGCGACGTGCACCCCCTGGAGCGGTGCTGGCCACTGCGGGGGTTGTACCAGGACGTAGCTATGTCCGGCCAGGACCCCGACGAGCAGGGCCAACTGTGGCCGACCAATATCTTCCTGCGGCTGCTCAATATGCAGTTTGCGTGTGTTGCGGTGATGACGGAGACGTGCCTCAAGGTGGGGCCCATAGGGTTGGGTGAGAGTGAGGAGGCATCACCCGTGGAGAGGGCGTAACTGAGTGGGGTCCTCCCGACATAGCTGTGGGAAGGTGGTGCGAGGTGCCGTGCATACACGGAGGCCGGCAGCTGTTGCCAGGACCGCGGGGTCGATCTGAGGTCTGAGGGATGGGGGTTTGGGGTGGGGCCGCAGCTCCTGTGTGGCGAGGTAAAGGTCCCGCCAGGGTCGTAGGAAGGTAGAGGAAGGTAACGGACACGCGGACAAGCCGGACGCGTTCCGTGGCTGCCAGGGAGTCGGAAGTTCCACTCGCATCCAATTGGCCGCCTCCGGATACACACATCATGTACCTCCCTCAGCATCGCAATCGGTCGGTTGGGAGTCACAATATAATCATCACGGTATCGTCCATGTCTCCAGGGCATCTGTGTGTGTGTGTGTGTGTGTGACCTTGCACTCCTCTATTCCGAAAACCCCCAATTGGACACATTGTCATAGCGTGGAAAAAGACGGTACGATAGCACAGTAGCACGGCACCTGCTGCCTGTGTCATTGCCCTGGCACTCAATATCCCTTACGCCTCAGCGACAACCCTTACCCCACGTGGCGGTATACTTTACGGTACGCTTGTCTCACGCCGGGTGCGGCTGCAGGAGCTGGGACCCACTGCATGCTTTCTGTACATGAGCTCGACGCAGCGAGTGGCGGTGAGGTTGTCGCCGCAGCGGCCATCAGCGCCGGGGCCCTCACTGCCACCGTCGGTCGCCGCGGCGGCAGTGTCCGTGCGACCTGGGGGGGGGGAGGTGTCGGGGTCGAACCGCGGCAGGGCTGGATTACCGCTGCTTGTGGTAGTGCTGCCCTGCGTGCTGGGAGGTGAGCACGCCAAACCCCACCCCCACCCTCCTTGGCATCAGTTTCACTCGTTCGTGGTTCGTCTTCCCCCAACCTCCACCACCGGGTAGACCAGGGGGGGGGAGTCAGCACTACCCGGGGCACACCTCACTGGCGGCCGCGAGCTGCACAGCTGGGAGAGCTGCACTTGCCGTTTCGGGGACGACATTCTGGCCACTACTACGTGGGGAATGATTGAATGGAGAAATGAATTTGGGGGGGGGGGTGTCACTGTTAGGGAGTCTTGGGGGGAAAGGATATGGCAGCACAGGTGCGCACTGCACAACTCCAATGGCATTCAGAGCAGTCGCCAGGAAGGGTAGGTACCACCGCGTGACCTACCAAGCGCCAGTAGCACCAGGGAATATGTTGAACACGCCAACACGCAACTCCCACTCACACTACGACCCGCCGGGATGTACTTGTATTCTCCCTCCGAGCTTGAAGGGTCCCCTTGGGCTGCACCAAACTAGTCCCCTTTGGTGCCCCCCGCCTTTGATGTTTGCGATGTGCTACGTGCGGTGCACATACCTCTTGACCTGAACGTGGTGCCGTACCAAGGATGTACGGACGGCGTTTGCCCAGTTTGCTGCCTTGCAGCTGCTGACCGTTTTTCCCCCCACGCCCACCCCCATCCCCACCCCATAATGATGATGATGATGATGCGATCACACTGCACACCTCCTCCTCCCTCTACAGTTCTCCTCATCACAACTGTAGCCGCGGTATTCGTCTGGTTCCTGGCCGCTCGGTACTGGCGAGCAGACAGAAGAGCCGGGTGGAGGCTGCCCGGGCACTCCGATGGCAGGTGCGTATGTAGGTATGCATGTATGTATGTAGGCGGTGCCACCACCGGGGGCACTAATGAAGGGGCCGGGGAATCAACCACCGCCCATGATAATGATGATTTTTTTCTTTTAGCACCTCCCATCGCCACATGCATTCGCCCCCTTGCGCCCTTTCCCTCCCGGACTTCCCTTTACTGATCGCCCTGTGTGGCCTCGCTGTCCGCCCTCAGCGACAAGCTCGCGGCCGCCTCGGGCGCCGACTCCCCCCCTGCGGGCGCCCAGCTGTGCAAGGGCCGCTCCTCGGAGTCTCTGGATCCTGTGGGGTCCCAGGGGAGCACCGACGTACTTCAGCGGCAGCCTAGCAAGGGAGGGGGGGCAGGGCCCCGCAACCGACTGGACGCTGGGTATGGGGAAGCGGCCCGGCGAGCACATGCGGTGATGTCCAGCACTACCGCGGAAACTGCCGAGGTCAAGGTTCTGGCGGGGACGTCAGGTGAGGGAGGGCGGGGGTCCCGCTACCTCGAGGGCCGCTGTGCAGGTGTGTCCACCACGCGCTTCCCTGCGCGCCTGCACCCGGGTATGAGTGCTGCCATTGCTTTAGCTTGGTCGAGTTGATGGGCCCCGTGTGAAGGGAAAGCTGGGCTGAGGACTTGTGGCCTCCCCATTCCGCCTTCACCCCTCTGGCGGTTACGGTTGCGGTTGTGGTAGGAGGTCGGCTCACGCGTCCTCCACCTCACACTGGCCCCCTGCCAGCGCCTATCATTCTGGTCGTCTTCGTCGGCTCCGTGGCATGTGAGGGACAGGAAGACGTGCGATGTTGGATCTGGTTGTCATTTGAACTATCCTTCCTCCCCATGTGTGTGTGCATGGCCATGGGCGGTTCCTGTACGACACGGTACGGTATGGCAAGCAGTAGGCGGCTACATCCTGGCTCCGGATGCGCTGGTGATTGTGACCCCCTTCACTCCGCACCGCTCCGACCTGAAGCTGGATGTGCAGTGCGACACGGAGGTCAAGCTGCTGCCGGTGGTGAGGGGCCAGGGGTAAGTGGGGAAGGGGTCAGGTAGCTGAGTGGTTGGGGGTAAAAACTTGCAGAGCGCGGGTTTGTGCTTTAGCGGGTTGGCTGCGCCCGCGTTCGCGTGCGTGCATGGCGTACTCCCCCTCGCGAGGGCCCCCTCCGCACTCCCACATCACACACGGTACCCTGTACCCGTTACCAACCACCCCGTACCCAGCCCCTCACCTGTCCAACGTCACCTCCCCGGCCCCGTTACGTGCACTTGCGACTCGAGGAACTTTGGCCGCGTGGTGGAGGGTCTGTACGGCGGGCAGCGTGTGGCGGTCAAGCTGGTGCCCGACCTGTCCCAGTGGAGCGGTGCGGGCGGGCCGGCAGCTCTGCAGAGCTACGTGCAGGAGGTGGAGGTGCTGGGTCGCTGCCAGCACCCCAATGTGGTGCGGCTGCTGGCGGCGTGTGTGACCCCGCCACGGCTGTGTCTGGTGATGGAGCTGATGGACACCTCCCTGGACCGACTCATACATGCGATACCACAGCCGGGGCCGCCACAACAGGCAGCGCCAACAAGTACGGGGCAGGAGGTGCAGCTAGGCACGTCCTCTGTGCGAGGTGGGGCCAGCAGCAGAAGCGACGGCTGCGGCTGCGGCGGCAGTAGCGGCGGCGAGGGCGGTCGCGAGATTAGCGATCGGGGATTCATGCTCATGCCGCTGGATAAGGTGTTGCATGTGGGGCTGGAGGTGGCCCGGGGCCTGGAGTACCTGCACCCCACGATTGTGCACCGGGACCTTAAGGTAAGGCAGTGGGGGGAGGTGAGAGAGGCGCGCGTGCTGTTCGGGACGCATGGATGTTGGGGGAACATTTTTGCCTGGTGGCCTCATTCACGTCATGCGTGTGCGCGGGTTGGAAGGGGTTGTGAGGGCGCGTGGGAAGATGCGATGCGACGAGAGAAAGGAGTTGGGGGTAACGGCTGTTTATATCTCCCCACACGCGCGCAATCGCACTACCTAGTCCCCGGGCCTCGTATGGAATGAGTGAAGGAACTGCGGAATGTTGGCCCGGTGGACCGCTATCGGCCTATTGCCGCAATCCTGGGTCCGCTGCAAGCCCTCTTCGCCATTCACCCTTTCATCACTCGCCATCGGCCCTCCTCCCCCACCCCCTCCTCCACCGTCCCCTCCGCAGCCAGGCAACGTGTTGCTCAACGACCCCTATGGACCCCGACCGGTTGTGAAGCTGACGGTGGGTCGAGAGGGGTGGGGCAGTGACAGGGGGAAAGGGAGAGAGGAGGAGGCTATTGTTGACTGGGGGGGGTGCGGGGATTTAGGAAACATGAGGACTTACTGTTAGGAGCTCACGCGAGGGAGTGTCAAATCCCGGGCGCTCCGCCTCCGCCTCCTCGTCCATCTCTTGATCTTTGTGCTACTGCTACTGCTACTGCTACTGCTACTGCTAACGCTAGTGGTGCTTTGGGGACACCTACATGATGCCGGATAGCGCACGTCACTGCGTCGGAAGCCTCCGCTTCCCCTTTCTTTGCTTGGCAGTGTTAGCTCCCGAGGTGGTGGGAGGTTACTCAGGGTTGGGTATTGAGGACTCCATATACCCTGGAGCCTCTCCTTCCCTTCCTCTCCTTGCTTGGGCCCTCTTCCCTCAGGACTTTGGTCTGTCCCGGCTGCGCAGCAGCGTGCTGGTCACCCGGCACCCCGAGGCGGGCACGGTGAGAGGCCCGGGAGGCTTACGGGCGGGAGGGGGAGGGGGGGAGGGATTGTGTCATGTCGCTTGCATACGTTCCGCGTCGCGTCTTGCCTTCGAAGCCTGGCTTGCGTCCTTTGTTGCGCATGACGTTCTCACTGCGTACTTGTGTGTGTTGGGGAATTTTAGGTGGGGTTAGGGTGGGGATGTATGTGCGTGGTGCCTGCCACACATAGGTGTGCGCGCATGCATGGGGGCAGCGCATGTCCACGGGGCAACAAACACAGTCGGTGGGTGTCTTCACAGCGTTGTTGAACCTGTGGGACGACGAAGCTGCCTGCCCGCGAGCAACATTGGTACATGTCTAGATAATGCGAAATTTGCTGATGCTGATATTTTTATAATGTAAGACAAAAGCACGAGACTTGCGTGTTTGAAAAAACGTCTTCGAAAGAATTTATTATCTCTAATCCTACCATATATGTCCATTATTCAAGTAATGTTTTACCGCGCTTGCTTGATAGGTAATGGGATTGCGCTCTAAATATGATCAGCATCGTTTTCTCTGATTTCTGTAAGTTCTGGGATTCACTGGAGGTGAGGGTACGTCTCATTTGGAACCTGCAACAAAGAAAGACGGTGCTCTGCGTCTAGAGCTCCAGTGAAAATGCTAATGAGGATTGCATTTGACCCCTCCTACCTGGGTGAGCCGGGCTGGCCTAAGGTGCCCCCCCCCCACACACATCTAGGGTGGCCCCCAGCTGGCATACCCAGCTCAACAACCCCTTGCCCACCTGCCCCTGCCTCCCTCCCTCCTCGGTCCCTGGTGACGGCCGTGTGGCCTTGCTCTGCCGTGCTCTGCAGCCTCCGTACATGGCGCCAGGTAAGGAGGCGTACTATACGGGGTTCAAGCCTGACGCATGGCATGCCCAGTCCATCTTTCTTTGGTCGCTTGTCTGTCTGTCTGTCCGTTTGCATGTCGATTCATTGCATCCGGCACTTGGCACCCTTGTGGCCGACCTCACTGGGCGCCCGTTGAGGGCAGGAGAGGGGATGATTCCGATGACTCCGATCTTTGCAAAGACAGCCCAGCAGCATGCATGGTTTTCTGCTGCTTTGTGTTCCCTATGCTACCTGCTCGCGTGTGCGCTACCTCTGGGCCCAAATGGGTTTCATGTATGTACGTATGTATGTCAAGACAGAATATGCACCGCAAGTAGGCGGCGTGTGCCAGTTGCCACGAAGCTATATCTTGTAGCTGAACCCGCTGTCCCTATCACGGGTTGTGCACTCCCCCACAGAGTTGTACGATATTACGAACAACGTGGTCACGGACAAGAGCGACATGTACAGCTTGGGTGGGTGTTCAGCTTGGGGTCGCGGTGACGAGTGCGTTGGTGTCTTTTAGGTGCAGGCGCTGATATGTTGTCGCAACTTCAGTCAAAGCCGTGCTCCTTTCCTTGCCAGGGTCGATCCCGCGGCTGTTTTTCTCCCTTCACCTCCCCTCTGCATCCTTTCCTTCATCTCCCTCCCCTCACCTCCCCCCCTCCCTCCCTTTTCCTGGTCTTTCTCGCATGCAAGGGTGCACTGCTCCTTTCCTCTTGGAAGAGCGCTTTCCTTTCTCTGACTGACTCCCTCCCCCCTGGCCCCTGACCCGCCCTGTCAATCCCTCCCTCACCCCTTCCTGGTGTGTGAACTTGCCCAGGTGTGTTGCTGTGGGAGATGCTCAGCGGCCTGGTTCCCTGGCAGGGCTGCGACCCGCTGGTGGTGGCCTACGCGGTCACCATCAACCAGGACCGCCTGCCGCTGTCCAACATACCGCCCGAGCGCCTGCCGCACAAGCTGCAGCGCCTCATGGAGAGGCTGTGGGACCACGACCCGCTGCGGAGGCCCGCGGCCGCCGAGGTGGTCAAGCAGCTGGCCCTCATTCAGCAGGACGTGGCGCGGCAGGAGGGCAGACAGCTGGTGGCTGCATCAGTGCAGCCGCAGCTGCAAATCCACCTAGACCCGCAGCCCCAGTGCGAAGTGCCGGCCCAACAGCCGCGGCAGCAGCAGCCACAGCCGCAAGTCGATGCAGAGGCAGCTTCTTAGCACCCTTCACCAGTTATGTATGCAGGAACTCCACTAATATAAGTACGGCAAGAGCTGTACCTTAGCAGCTTCATGGGGGCGCGGACGGGGCCGGGGTGACTGGGGCTCCGGCGCAGACCATCCGGTGCTGGGCCCGCTCCACCTCGTTGCATTCCGTGGAACTGAGTGAACTGGACTGGACTGAACTGGCGCCCTCGAGACTAGGGAGCTCTTGTCAAGGTACTTTACTGACACGACCAGGCTAGATAACCCAACCCCAACCCCGAGCGGTAGAAATGCGAACGGGGGAGTGGAAGCACGGCATTGAGTGCGGTGCGAGGCGCACCGAGTTATTGGGAACCAAATTATACCCACATAGGTACCACCTCGGTGCGGCTGTCTCAATATTCAGAACCATGTTGTCACACACAAGAATGGCAGATGCACTCCCGCATGGTGTGTGCGGTGGGTTGCGGACGCTGCGGCTGGTGTTTGCGCTAATGTTTGCGTGCGGCTAGAGCCGATATGCATGCAAATATGGCATGGGTGTAGAAGGCCCCCGTGGGCCCCGCACCTGCATGCTGAGTTGACAGCCCTTCGAAAGCAAACGCAACATGACGAAAGGAGATGATGGTGTGAGGAGCGCCTCTCGACGACCATGACGCATAGCCCACGTCACGGCACTGCTTAAACTGCATTTGCGTGGTTGCATTTGTTATTTTATGGCTTTAGCTGCAAGAGCGATGTTCGGGCAAGTCCTTTTCTTGGCTTGCTAGTGCTTTTGTCTGTATGTGTGTGTATGAGAGAGAGAGAGTTAGGGAGTCGGTATCGAAGCTTCAAATGGCAATCCCGTGCCATAAAAGTATGTCTGGTACGGCACGCATTAAGCAACGTATGCAAGCTCGAAAATCACTAATGCATAGCCTATGTACAGGAAACCGCAAGGAAGCACGCCTGGAATGCAGCAGCAGCACAGTCCCCCGGAGAACAGGAGTGCTGATCCCTAGGCTGCACCAGGTTGCAGGGGGGAATGTACTGTCCAGACCTCATCTGGTGGGCTTTGGGTGGTGGGGCTGTGCACCCTCCATGGCGCGCACATCCACAAGCCACAACCTTTCCGTACGACATCATGTCGACGTTGACTTTATGTGGCCCATTAAGAGGCCCAGTCGGCGGCATTGCGAACTTTGCCCCTCCAGGACCTCTTGGTGGCTTGTGTGTGTGTGTGTGTACTGGGGTTGGCGTACGCAACTTTATAAGGGCTTGCGGCGCGAGTCCCGTAGCTTTGTTTCCCTACCAGGGGGGTATAGCGCTGTAGCTGAGCTCACAGCGGTGCGAGTTGTGCGAAATGTCCGTTGGCCCCAGTCAGTCTTGCATGTACGTCTTGCGTCCGCCTATCAGACCTGCTGGACGTTAGCAGCTGCCAAGTCCCTAACCTGTTAATTGCGGCTTCTGAGCTGATCAGGGACTTCAAAAAGGACAAATGAACATCCCCCGCCCCCTTCCCGTCGTCGCCTGCCGCTGGTGAGGCCACCCACCAGACGGGACATGAAGGAGGCCCCGCAGAGCCCGTGAACGTTCCCCGCGTCTGCAGCCCCCTCCCTCCGCGCGCGAGCTTTGTTTCCTCTGCGGCGACGCCCGACAGGGATTCCCACGGGGAAAGTCAAGTCTAGCCAGGCGGCGGCAGTGCACGCATGTCCATAGACCTGAATGATAATGGGCCCTGAATGGATGCGGCGGGTGCGATAGATACCCTTTCATGTGTGGATTCGCACGAGTATCGCGCTCCCTGGTTTAACGGTTAAAAAATACTCCTGGGACTGGTCTGAATGCCAATGCCACAAGGAGTTTTGGAACATTTGTGCGGAGGTAGAAGCTTTGCAGCTTTGTACAAGCTGTCAATAAGGACCCTTAATAATCCCGGACTGGAGCATTTTTTTTAAATGCGGTGATTTGGGGTTACCTATGCCCCGGCTAACCGCATGCGTCCTCAGGCCCATGGGTGCTTGCAATGAGCAATTGAGACCGAAATGAAGCTGTTTTGCAGGGGCCCCTTGCCATTTCCTCATATGCGCATTGACTCCTGACAGTGCGCGGGGAGCCCTGCTCGTTCTTTTGGTTGTTTCTCGTGTATGCATAGTTCGCCTTGTGTGTAGTACTCGGTGCTGGGTACTTAGAGTTCTTCTTTTTAATGTATAGAAAATCTGCCTGTCTGTCAAGGTTACTGGAATAATGAGGATAGGATCAGCGGGGTGCAGTTCTTCCTCGCTGCTCGGTTCGTGAGGTGTGTGCGCTCGGTATGTGCGTGCCAACATCCCGAATTACATCGCAAAACCAATCCCGGCAGATGTGTTCTTGTTGTAACATTTACCTCCAATATATTTGCAGGTCATGCGGTACACCATCGTCACCCGAAATCTCTTTTGGGGCGGGGCCCCAGTCATGTCAGTGTGTCAGTGTGAAATTGCCATAACGCAATACTTCGCCCAGCTGTAAAGCCTTCTGCATAACCTTGCCTAATCTCTATTACTAGGCATCTTTAAGCAGCCCCTCGCAGAAATGTGTCGGGTCGTACTGTGCCGAATAAACACTCCGTACAAGACGCCCAAAGCCAGGAGCGAGTTTTAACGCGCGGATGCGCGCGTGCGATTCGCAAAATGCGCGTGTATAAGTGTATATAAATTTTCTTGGCGAAAAAGGACGAGGTGCGCCAGCGCGTTGCGCAGGTGGGCACGTTGGCCACAGCCGCACGCGGCATGCAGGCTGGACTATTGCGTGGCTGCTTTGCAGTAACTGAAAGCACCGAAAGCCTACGTCGTAGCTTGCAAGACTGGGCTCGTGAAACTGCCGCGGGAAGAGGAAGCGTCTGGCGAAGAGGCAGTTGTGTGCAAGCAAACGGTCGCGTTTTTGGTAGTGCAACGTATACAGCACCTTGTTCAGAGCAAAGTCAAATTACAAAGTTGCGCAAAGTATAACATACATAAACTTAATTAAACATAAGAACAGATAAGACGTTTAGAGCCTTGTCGGTGACATGGACGCCGCTGTTGGCTTGGAACAGCTATTTGCTGTGCATAGGGACGTGCCCGCGTTAGCCGTGTTGCAACAGCTCAGGATGGATTTCAGCCAGCAACAGCCTCAACAGCTGCTGCACAACCACCGGGAATGTCTTCAGTTGGGCACGTGTAGTTTTGGTCGGCGGGGTCGAGCATCGTACGCATTGCGCACAGAAACCAAGGTGCAGCGTCTCTGTAACATCGCCAACATATCCGGTACGCGGTGGCAGGCTTGCCGAGCACGAAATGAAGGGG